GAAAGTTTGAGAGGGAGAGGAGGGTATGGTAGTGGAAACATTTTTGAGGTTATTAAAAAGAAGAGACAGAACTCTGATCTTTTAAGGTAAAGTAAGAGCTGACAGTAGTTACTGAAAGTGAGGGAGACGTAAGAAGTAGGGACAAGGTTTGAAAAGAGATGAACAGAGGACTTGTGAGGTGTTTGCTTTGTTTCAGGAAATTTTCTCTGCTAGCTCTTTGTTTTATGTTGAAAAGTAACCTTAAATTTCTGTCCCATTCATGATCATCATGGAAGCTCACAAAACTAAAGATTTGATAGAAATTCAACTTGCCAAATAAACTTGTAGATTGGGTTTAAGACCTCTTGAAATAGAAATATATATTTAAGTCAGGCTTTCTCAACATGCTTTCAAGAGAGAATTAAACTCTACTGCCCCAAAGTATCATTGCATATAATGAATTTTTCTTCTAGAATGGCACTCTTGGGAGAATTGAGAAAATAGTTACTAAAGTAATATTCTACATTCTCTGGTTCAGATCAGGAATCTGGGTGATAAAGGCTGTTTTAAACTATAACTATTTTCTGACTCAGGAGAGTATTTTAGTTTTTGATTAAAATTGTTCTGAATTTTCATTAAGTTTGTTGCTGTAATTAAACCATTAAAATGTTAACAAACTTTGCTACATGACTTCAAAGGCCCTTATGATTACATGTGCTTCATTGCCTTGCATTTACTAATGTTTTGTCAAAATCAACCTACTACTTTCTCTGAAGAACTCAGTATTATGGTTTAGGGATGCTAGTACTTCATGAATAACATTTCTTTAGATTTTTTTTTGGTATCTCATGAATGACACAGGTACCAAATTATGATGTAGTGAATATTTTACATTTATTTGTTAGATATAAACCAGAGGTTTCCTAAAGTGTGGTCCCCAAGATCCTTTCAGGTGGTCCACAAATTTAGGACTATTTTCTTAATAGTAATATACTTTTGGCTCTTTTCACCGAGTTGATACTTGGACTGATGGTATAAAAGTAATGGATGGTAAAACTGCTGGGGCCTTAGCCACAAGTTAAGGCTGTGGCACCAAATTGTACTGAAAGTTATTCTTCACTCTCACATAGGCTATTAAAAAGTAAAGTAAAAAAAAAAAAATTAAAAAGCTTGTTTCACTTAAGCATGTCCTTGAAGTAAAAATTATTAATTTTATTTTTTTGTTGTGCTTTAGATGCAGGTTTACAGAGAACATTAGTTTATCATTGAACAATTAATACACATACTGTTTTGTGACATTGGTTGCCAACCCCACAACGTGTCAGCACTCTCCCCTTCTCGACCTTGAGTTCCCCGTTATCATCTTTCTTGTCCTCTCCTGCCTGCTTGTCCTTGCCCCTGAGCTGGTGTGCCTGTTTAGTCTTGTTTTGTTTTACAGGCCTGTCTAACCTTTGACTGAAGGGTGAACCTCAGGAGTGACACAGTACTGAGTTAAAAGGGTATCTGGGGTCCATACTCTTAGGGTTTCTCCAGTCTCTGTCAGATCAGTAAGTCTGTTTTTGTGAGTTAGAATTTTGTTCTACATCTTTCTTCAGCTCTGTACAGGACCCTCTATTGTGATCTCTGTCAGAGCAGTTGGTGGTGGTAGCTGAGCACTATCTGGTAGTACTGGATTCAGTCTGGTGGAGGCTCTGGTAGTTGTGGTCCATTAGTCCTTTGGACTAATCTTTCCCTTGTCTTTGGTTTTCTTCATTCTCCCTTGCTCTACTCGGTGGTGGGACCAGTGGAGTATCTTAGATGGCCAGTCACAAACTTTGAAGACCCCACACGCTACTCACCAAAGTAGGATGTAGAACAGTTTCTTTATAAACTATGTTATGCCAGTTGAGCTAGATGTCCCCCGAGACCATGGTCCCCAGCCCTCAGCCCAGTAATTCAGTCCCTCAGGGAGTTTGGATGGGTCTATGAAGCGTCCATGACCTTGCCTTGGTCAAGCTGTGCTGGCTTTCCCAGTATTGTGTACTGTCTTACTCTTCACCAACATTACCACTTATCTATTATCTATTTTGTGTTTTTGCCTCCCTACCCCTCCCCTCTCTTTAACCATCAAAGATTGTTTCTTTTTGTGTGTAAACCTTTTCATGAGTTTTTATAGTAGTGGTCTCATCCAGTATTTGTCCTTTGGTGATCAATTTATTTCATTCAGCATAATGCCCTTCAGGTTCATCCAGGTTGTGAGATGTTTTGCAGATTCATCATTGTTCTTTATTGTAGTGTAGTAAAATTATTAATTTTATTAAATATCGACACTTGAGTACATGTCCATTTAATATTCTGTCTGCTTAAATGGGAAGTATGCATAAAACACTTATGCATACCAGAATATGATGGTTATCTCAAGGAAAAGCACTTGTACAGTTGTTTAAGTTGCAAGCTTTATTTGAAAGGGCAACTGACAAGTAAACTATGGTTATTCAGACCTGGTTATTTGGGGTATATTTCCTCAAAAATGAAAGAATTTAGCTGGCCACTGACAGATTTGTTGCCATTGATAAAACTGGAGCTTTCAGGTGAAACTTCAATGGCTGTGAGCCTGACAGGTGTCTAAAACTTAAAGACTTATCAATTGAGATCTCTGGTGATGTTAATGAATGTGATTTTTTAATACTGTGTAATGGAATGTGGAAGATCTGTATAACTCAGTGAACTAACATTTTCCAAATGACCAATGCATCATATTACAGAATCGTGCACAGGTGAAAGATCCATATTAGGTACAGGATAGACCAATGGATTTTAATGCAACAAAGTATGAAAAGTTCATTGATGTGGTTTCATATTGCACATTATGGAATAACTTATAAGAGACTACTACTTTTTGAGTTTTGGTGTGGTATCAAAGAATTACAACAATTACTCAAAGATTATTAAAATATTCCTCTCTTTTCCAACGAATTCTGTGTGAGGCTGGGTTTTCTTACATATCTCTTACATATCTCAGCCAAAACAGTATGTTACAACAGATTGAAGGTAGGAACAGATACGAGAAACCAACTGTCTTCTATTAAAAAGACAAACAAACAAACACTAACTAGACAATAGATAAGTGGTAACTTTGGTGAAGGGTAAGACAGTACACAATACTGGGAAGTCAGTACAACTTGACCAAGGCAAAGTCACAGAAGCGTCATAGACACGGCCAAACTCCGAGGGACTGAATTACTGGGCTGAGGGCTGGTGATCATGGTCTCGGGGGACATCTAGCTCAATTGGCATAACATAGTTTATAAAGAAAGTGTTCTGCATCCTACTTTGGTGAGTAGTGTCTGGAGTCTTAAAAGCTTGTAAGCGGCCATCTAAGATATGTCTACTGGTCCCACCCCATCTGGAGCAAGGGAGAATGAAGAAAACCAAAGACAAGGGAAAGATTAGTCCAAAGGACTAATGGACCACAACTACCAGAGCCTCCACCAGATTGAGTCCAGCACAACTAGATGGTGCCCAGCTACAACCACCGACTGCCCTGACAGGGATTACAATAGAGGGTCCGTACAGAGCTGGAGAAAAATGTAGAACAAAATTCTAACTCACAAAAAAAGACCAGATTTACCGGTCTGGCAGAGACTGGAGAAACCCTTGAGAGTATGACCCCCGGATGCCCTTTGAAGTCAGTACTGAAGTCGCTCTTGAGGTTCTCTCTTCAGCCACCCTGGTGGCACAGTGATTAAGCACTCAGCTGCTAACCAGAATGTTGGCAGTTTGAATCTACCAGCTGCTCCTTGGAAACCCTATGAGGCAGTTCTACCCTGTTTTATGGGATTGCTATGAGTTGGAATTGACTCAGTGCCAGCAGGTTTTTTTTTTTTTTTTTTTTGATGGAGAACACACAATAACGTATGTAGTTCAACCAGGTATACTAGACTGAATGGGCACACACCAGTACAGGGGCAAGGATGAGAAAGCAGGAGGGGAAAGAAAACTGGACAAATGGACATGGGAAACCCAAGTTTGAGAAGGAGTGTTGACACATCACGGGGTTGGCAGCCAATCTTGCAAAATGGTATGTGTATTAATTGTTCAATGAGAAACTAATTTGCTCTGTAAATGTTCACCTAAAGCACAACAGAAATAAATGGCTTGAATATAAGAGCATAGGGAGCCCTGGCGGCGCAGTGGTTAAAGCTCTCGGCTGCTAACTGAAAGATTGACGGTTCGAACCCACCAGCTGCTCCGCGGGAGAAAGATGTGGTAGTCTGCTTCCGTGAAGATTTACAGCTTTGGAAACCCTATGGGTCAATTCCATTCTGTCCTATAGAATCGCTGTGAGTTGGAATTGACGCAACGGCAGTGGGTTTTGGTTTTTGAAATACTGTTCAATGAGGAACTACTATAAGTTCTACTGGAAATATGTTTCAAGGAAATTAATACTTCAGAAGATGTGGATCTACACTGATGCCTGACTAGAAAAGTGTCTTCCTCTCCAATAAAACCTTGCCATAAATTAAACATCAACTTCACTGAGAACATCATGATGTTGCTGGTTAACAAAACAAAAAAACATTCTACTTTTCACTAAATTTCTTTGGAAAATTGTTATTTTTCATAAAAATGTTACTTAAGTTAACCTATAATGGCTTTATTTTTGTTTTTTTGAAATGAATTGATACATAAATATCTTAAACTTTTCTCAGTTTTGATTTTTAATATGGTCAGCATCAGTAGATATAACCCCCATAAACAAAAGCTTTTTGGGATCCTCAAAATCTTTTAAGAATGTAAAGGGATCCTGAGACCAAGAAGTTTGAGAAGAGCTGCTATAAACCTTTGAAATTTTAATTATTCTTATTCTTTAAAATATATGAGTGAAGAAGTAATTGATTTAGACTCAAAACTGTGTCCACAACTTAGCAAAATTAAAACTGAATTATTTTTGTAGACTTGTTAATGCACCGTTTTTTAGTTAGTATCTCAAACTTATTTATTTGGCTTAGCAATTTAATGTTTTGTTTGTTTCTCCTTAGCCTCTGCGACTTGACATCAAGAGAAAGCTAACTGCTCGATCTGATCGAGTCAAGAGTGTGGATTTGCATCCTATAGAGCCATGGATGTTGGCAAGTCTTTACAATGGCAGTGTGTGCGTTTGGAATCATGAAACACAGGTGGGAACTTGTAAGGACTCTTAGAAATAAAATACTGTGTTAGATTGTTTATAATAAAAGAGAAGAAATAATCAGAGTCCAGTAGCAGTACACAAACTGCTTTCTCAAATTGGTGTAAACTATTTAAATAAAGATGAACTAGCATGAAGGAACATATAGCTTGTGGGAGAAACTGTTCTGAGCACTTTATATGCAGTATTTAAATCATAGCAACTCTGATGTAGGTAGTATTAGCTCTTTTTGAAATTGAAACTGAGGCTGCTAGAGGATCACCTGCTGTAGATAAAATGTTTAATAATTAATTTTCCATTTAGTGAATATTCTGACAGTCTTAAAAGGAGATCTTTATTTTGTATTTTTTCCCAAATGCTCTACATAGTGTTAATGTAGATACATTTCATTCAGCCATACCGATCAGATTATATCAAATATTTGTGGTCAGCTTTTGATTATGTACATGGGAGTATCTGTCTTATAAATTATCTGCCTTAAATCTTACCGCATGCTCTTTCACCTGAGTAAATAATGTATCCTTCAAATTAGTTTAGTTCTTATTTTCCATAGTCTTTATTGGCCATTCTTAATCTTTTTCTTTCAAACTACAGAACATATAGTCAGCACTGTACCATACAGTTAGGCATCTACTTATACAGTAATTATCCTCAAGTCAACTCTGACCGTTTCAGGGTCACTGTGGGTCAGCGTAGACTCAATGGCAATGGATTTTTTTATCCTCAGCATCCAGAGTTACATTAAGTCCAGCTAAAATTCACATTTGAGAAATTTAAGATGGGAAAGTACAATTAGGAACCAAGGTCAGGAGTAAACCTAACAGCACTCTTAAATTTGTTTACTCACTATAATGGAACAGTAGGACTACACACTAAATCAAGGCCTCATCAATGACATTTTACACACATTAGCATTTTATTCACCATTAGATCCCCAGTATCTATAGTAGTACCTGACACACAGTGAGTGCTCAATAATTACTCGTTGAACTGATGAATAATAAGCATTCCATTTATCACTGGAAACCTTTCAAGATGTCTGTCTTCCTCAATTTCAGATTTATAACTTATGAATTCCTTTTGCCTTAATGTGACAATATGCATGGTAATGGACATTTTTTTGGCCTTAGTTCTCCATCCAAATGTTTAGATCTTTTCTGATTTTATACTTTCAGGTTATGTTGATGCCCTTCCCCTCTTCTGCCCATTCTTCCCAGGGTTTCCATCAACTCCATTTACCCATCTCTCAGCTCTTATCATTTAACTATAGTATGTTCTAAAACCCATGAGATTTCCGTAGGCTTTATCATACTTGTTATGGATTAAATTGTGTCCCCCCCGAAGTGTGTTATCAACTTGGCTAGGCCATAATTCCCAGTATTGTGTGGTTATCCACCATTTTGTGATCTGATGTGATTTTCCTATGTGTTGTAATCTCTGCCTGCGGTTAATGAGGCAAAATTAGATTTTGTTAAAGAGGATTAGGGTAGGATGCACCACCCTTACGCAGGTCACAGGAGAATTTCCTTGGGGTGTGGCCTGTATCACCTTTTGTCTTACAAGAGGTAAAAGGAGAGAGAAGCATGCAGAGAGAAGGGACCTCATGCCACCAAGAATGAACAACCAGGAGGGGAGCATGTTCTTTGGACCTGGGGTCCCCATACTGAGAAGCTCCTAGGTCAGAGGAAGATTGATGACAAGGACCTTCCCTCAGAGCTGACAGAGAAAGTGTTCCCCTGGAGCTAGCACCCTGAATTCAGACTTCTAGCCTCCTAGACTGAGAGAACCCTATGAGGCAGTTCTACTCTGTCCTATGGGGTCGCTTTGAGTCGAAATCTACTCGACGGCAGCAGGTTTGGTTTTTGGTTTAGACTGTGAGAGAATAAGTTTCTCTTGTTAAAGCCATCTAATTGTGGTATTTCTGTTGTAGCAGCGCTAGACAACTAAGACGATACTATACCTCTACTTTATCTGGGTCATCGTCTTTGCTTGCCTCCCTTTTTTCTTTTGTACTGTTTTTGTCCTCCCACTTGCCATGTGCTTCCCCTTTCATAATTCATCTCATTTGGTTATTTATTTAATTTTCTTCTTTCTTCCAAAACTGAAGGTTCTGTAAGGGCAGAGATTACACTAGTCTTATTCCCTACTGTTCCTCCAGAGCATGGCACACTACCTGGCACAGTGTCTGACTTATAGTGGATACTCAGTATGTCTTTGTTGAATGATCGCTCTATCTTTGGTTCCCCGTTTTTTTTTGTTTTTGTTTTTTTCTCTAATTATCCCCAGCAGGAGTTACTTGTATTTGCATATATTGGGAGCAAAATTCTTGAGTGAGCCAATAAAAGGCCAGGTGGGGGTGGGGGTGGGGGAGGAGGCTTGGAAGTAAATTCAAAATACTTGAATTTCAAATAAAGACATATTTGACTGTGTGAATCATAACCAACTACGGATAACATTGTGAAGAATGTGAAGTCCAGAACACTTAGTTGTGCTCGTGCAGAACCTGTACATAGACCAAGAGGCAGTTGTTCAAACGGAACAAGGGGATACTGCGTGGTTTAAAGTCAGGAAAGTCAGCATTTCTCAAGCTGAAAGAACTGAAAAAAAATTCAAGTCTCGAGTAGCAATACTGAAGGATTCTGTGGGGAGAATATTGACTGACACTGGAAGCATCAAAAGAAGATGGAAGGAATACAGACACTGTACCAGAAAGAATTGGTGAACGTTCAGCCATTTCAGGAGGTAGCATATGATCAAGAACTGATAGTACTGAAGGAAGAAGTCCAAGCTGCATTGAAGGCAGTGGTAAAAAACAAAGCTTCAGGAATTGACAGAATACCAATTGAGATATTTCAGCAAATGAATGCAGCACTGGAGGTGCTCACTCGTCTATGCCAGCAAATTTGGAAGACAGCCATCTGGCCAACTGGCTGGAAGAGGTCCATATTTGTGCTCACTCCAAAGAAAGGTGATCCAACTGAATGCAGAAATTATCGAACAGTATCATTAATATCACACACAAGTAAAATTTTGCTGAAGATCATTCGAAAATGGTTGCAGTAGTACATTGACAGGGAACTGCCAGAACTTCAAGCCAAATTCAGAAGAGGTTGTGGAACAAGGAGTGTCATTGCTGATGTCAGATGGATCTTGGCTGAAAGCAGAGAATACTAGAAAGATGTTTACCTGTGTTTTACTGACTGTGTCAGGGCATTTGACTGTGTGGATCTGCGGTGCGATTGATTACTTTCGTGTGTGGCCTTTCTAACCATGGTCTTGTAACTCCCACCCAGGTGATGGGGTGGGATTGGGTGGGACTCTGTGATAGGGTAATTGTGGCCTACCAAGGGGATTGGTCAGTTTTGCCTTAAAAGAGAGCCAGTTCCAGAGCAGAGAGGAGGATCCTGCCACCACCAAGGAAGAACAGCCAAGAGCCAGCACGTCCTTTGGGCCTGGGATTGCTGTGCTGAGAAGCTCCTGGGAGCAGGAGACAGCGAGCTGTAACCCTGAAGATGGTGACAATTGGTGGCAGGAGAGACCTGGCAGCAGGAGACGGTGTAGTAGGCTTCCTGGCCCATGGAGAGAGAAAGCTGAATGTCTTTGGGCAGAGGCCTAACTCAGAGGCATGCCTGTGAGCATGGCTGGGTTAGAAGCTGTCCCGATAGAAAAACTGTATCCTTGACTGTGCCTGAGCCTGAACTGTAACCTGTTATTTCCCTAATAAACCCCATGATCGTGAGTATGGTCTGTGAGTTCTGTGTGGCCATTGCAGTGAATTATTGAACCCAGTAGAGAGTGCTGTGGGAGGAACGGTTGGTGTCAGAGTTGGTAAAGATGGAGAGAGGAGGCATATCTGACCTCCACCTCATAGGAATCAGCCTTGGGCTGTTGATCTTGGTTCTCCTCCCCCCTTGTGAGACTGGAGAAGGTCAGACACTGCCCCCAAGCCATGTTTACAGATTCATAGCAAACTATGGATAACATTGCGAAGAATATGAATACCAGAACACTTAATTGTGCTCATGAGGAACCCGTACATAGACCAAGAGGCAGTCGTTTGAACAGAACAAGGGGATACCACGTGGTTTAAAGTCAGGAAAGGTGCGCATCAAGTTTTTATCCTTCCATTATACTTACTCGGTCTGTATGCTGAGCAAATAATACGAGAAGCTGCACTGTATGAAGAAGAACGTGGCATCAGGACTGGAGGAAGACTCATTAACAACCTGCGATATGCAGAGGACACAACCTTGCTTGCTGAAAGCCATGAGGACTCGAAGCACTTACTGATGAAGATCAAAGACCACAGCCTTCAGTGTGGATTACACCTCAACATAAAGAATACAAAAATCCTCACAACTGGACCAATAAGCAACATGATAAACGGAGAAAATAATTGAAGTTGTAAAGGATTTCATTTTATTTGGACCCACAATCAGTGCCCGTAAAAGTAGCAGTCAAGAAAGCAAACGACATATTGCATCGGGCAAATCTGCTGCAAAAGACTTTGAAGTGTTAAAAAGCAAAGATGTCACTTTAAGGACTAAGATGGGCCCTACCCAAGCCATGGTGTTTTCAGTAGCCTCATATGCATGCAAAAGTTGGACAATGAGTAAGGAAGATTGAAGAAGAATTGAAGCCTTTGAATTATGGTGCCGGCGAAGAATGTTGTATGAACCATGGACTGCCAGAAGAATGAACAAATCTGTCTTGGAAGAAGTACAGCCAAAATGCTCCTTAGAGGCAAGGATGAGGAAACTTCATCAGGGTCAGCAGAAAAGAGGAAGACCTTCAACGAGATGGTTTGACACAGTGTCTGCAACAATGGGCTCAAACATAGCAACGATCATGGGGATGGCACAGGACCAGGCATAGGGTCGTTCTGTTGTACCTAGGGTCGCTATGAGTCAGAACCGACTTGACGGCACCTAACAACAACAACATGACACTCAAGAGTGCCTGTTCTACACCTGCCTAGCAGATCCCAGGGTTTGTTGGTTCTGCATGAGGTTTTGTGCGTTTTTCTGCCATATAGATTGCATGTTCTTTCTGACACTTGTCTGCCCTCAGCGTCTGTGTCATTCATCTGGTAATGGTAATACAGCATAGAGCTGATGTCCCCATTCATTCAGTCCTTGTCTGAAGAATCTTTGAAGTCTGATTTGGGAAGCAAGAGTAGGCTCAACAATTCTTGTGAACCAATCTCTGTTCTGCTTTTTTTAAGGCAAAAATGCACATGGTTGATTAAACAGTAAGATTGTACTTGTGTTCCCTAGTTATTTCATCATTGCTATCTGGTCCAAAAAGAGGGATCGTAAAATGATACTTTGATTTTCAGAATTTTGAAGACAAGGCATCAAAGTGGGAAGACAAAAAGGTACATTCATCTCTGTTCTTTCCAGGAGGTTCCCCTATGTTTCTACCTTAATATGTTTTATGTATATATATATATATATATATATATATATATGTAACATACAGTTTCACTCTGAGCAGCTTGAAGCAACTCTAATTCACTTTGTTGTCATACCTCACTGAAAAGAAAGAAATAACAACATGGAAGCACATTGCTGAAGCGTACAAAGGAATTGTACCTTGTTTTGAGCCACTTTTATGAGTTTAATTTAAAACCGAAGAAACTAAATTAATTAATTCTTTGCTTCTTTTAAAAGTATCTTAATTTTGAACCTGTTAAAGAAAAGATGATTGGTTCCTTATTTTGTTTGAATATTGAGCTTTCGTATTTTAGCCAGAGAATATTTTTAAATTCAAAGTGATCTAAATGATTGAATGTTTAAATATAGTAGAATAGATTTTTTATTTTCTCATAACTCAAAGTGTATGTTCTTGTTAAATTTTAAGACATTGGTGAAGACATTTGAAGTATGTGACCTTCCTGTTCGAGCAGCAAAGTTTGTTGCAAGGAAGAATTGGGTTGTGACAGGAGCAGTAAGTAATTCTGTGACTCTGTAATCCCATTTTCTGAATTGGTCAATGATTGTGTAAATGACTTGCATAATTTTAATTCCTAATTTTTTATTTTTGCCACAATATTTTAAAACATGAACTCCATTCCTTGAGTCTATAATATGGTTTTTCATGCCATTTACTTTATAACAGTGATGATGGTTTTAAAACTTCCGTTTCCAGGATGACATGCAGATTAGAGTGTTCAATTACAATACTCTGGAGAGAGTTCATATGTTTGAAGCACACTCAGACTATATTCGCTGTATTGCTGTTCATCCAACCCAGCCTTTCATTCTAACTAGCAGCGGTAAGAGATGACTCCTTTTGTCATATACATCTCTTCTGGTAATTCATTTGGTGAGACATGCTGTTCGTTTACTGCTGTTACAAGTAGAGTTCTAATTCCAGCATCCTTTAAACAATTTAAATCTATTAACATTGCTATAGCAATGCTGCTTGCTTTTGTATTTTAATGAAATATCGGTGGTACCTAGGATTTGTATAGCAATTGCTCAGATTCCTGTCAGGGAAGACCTGAAGGTCTAGATGCTTAAACATCTAATGAACAGAAAGCTCCTTTACATGCTGAGTGAGTTTTTGGCAGATTGCCATACCCTAGTTGGTTTTGTCTTTATATTCAGACTAGTTTGCTCCTTGGTATTATGTATAAAACAGTGAATCTTTTGGAGAGCAACTAAGATAAGTAGTACTGAATTGGTAATAGCTCTGTGAAGCATTTTTAAATTAAGAATTGAGAAGTAATTCAAAACTTCTGTTTTAACCAGTCTTCTATCAGAAGAGCAAATGATTGTTGTGTAGTCATTACTGTCATTATTCAGGCATACCTAGACTAATCAAACCTGTGTTGATCTTTTGTCACTCTTTAAGCCTCACTGTTTTTCTTAAATTTTGTCGCAAGATTTTTATATTTGCTGTTAGTTTGTAATTTCTCTATTTTATTTATTTTCACCCATCTATAGAGAGTTAAATTTATTCTTAGGATAAATAAGGATCTTGAAAAATCTATTCAGTTCTCATGCTGTTTCTTAGATCTTGGAATGTATGATTTGTGTTGTTACGTTTGTTTCCTGCTTCAAAAGGCACAAAAACTCTGTGTCTTAGTTCTGAAATGAAAGAAATAGAAATTGCAACTAACTTGAGACTTTCTTTTGGCCCAGATGACATGCTCATTAAGCTATGGGACTGGGATAAAAAATGGTCTTGCTCACAAGTGTTTGAAGGACACACCCATTATGTTATGCAGATTGTGATCAACCCGAAAGATAACAATCAGTTTGCCAGTGCTTCTTTGGACAGGACCATCAAGGTAAAGTGTCCACTGTTTGTTTGGATCAGTTTTGACTGTGGGTGAAATGTAGTTGTTTTAGGTGTTTCACTACTGGCTGCCCAGAAAGTTATTCTGTCTTAGAAGTATCTCTCAAAAACTCATTTTGAAATAAAAATAGAGCTTCTCATTTTGATCCGAAAGGGCATGTTCTGTTTAGAAAAACAGTGTGGGCAACTGTGGCTCTTAATGAAGGAGTGTTTTTCCTTTGTTTAAAATTTTTTTTTTTATTGTACTTCAGGTGAAGGTTTACAGAACAGATAGTTTTTCATTAAACAGTAGTACGCATTATTTTATGACATTGGTTAACAACCCCATGACATGTCAACACTCTCCCTTCTTGACCTTCGGTTCCCTATTACCAGCTTTCTTGTCCCCTCCTGCCTTCTAGTTCTTGTCCCTGGGCTGTTGTGCCCCATTAGTCTCATTTTGTTTTATTGGGCTGTCTAATCTTTGAACGGTGAACCTCGGGAGTGACTTCATTACTGAGCTAAAAGGGTGTTTGGGGGCCATACTCTCGGGTTTCTCCAATCTCTGTCAGGCCGGTAAGTTTGGTCTTTCTTTGTGAGTTAGAATTTTGTTCTTCATTTTTCTCCAGGTCTGTCCAAGATCCTCTGTTGTGATCCCTGTCAGAGCAGTCAGTGGTGGTTGCCAGGCACCATCCAGTTATACTGGACTCAGTCTGGTAGAGGCCTTGGTAGTTGTGGTCCATTAGTCCTTTGGACTAATCTTTTCCCTTGTATCTTGTTTTCTTCATTCTCCCTTGCTCCCAAACGGATGAGACCAATGGAGTATCTTAGGTGGCTGCTCATAGGCTTTTAAGACCCCAGATGCTACTCACCAAGGTAGAATGTAGAATATTTTCTTTATAAACTATGTTATGCCAATTGAGCTAGATGTTCCCGGAGACCATGGTCCCCACAGCCCTCTGCTTAGCAGTTTGATCCCTCAGGAAGTTTGGCTGTGTGTCTATGGAGCTTCCATGACCTTGTGTTGTACAAGTTGGGCTGGCTTCCCCAGTATTGTGTACTGTCTTACCCTTCACCAAAGTTACCACTTATCTATTGTCTGTTTAGTATTCCTCCCCACCTCTCCCATCCCTTGTAACCATCAAAGATTGTTTCTTTTTGTGTGTAAACCTTTTTTTGCAGTAGTAGTCTCATACAATATTTGGAAGGAGTGTTTTTCCACGTGAAGGCATTATGTTGTAAGACTTTTTAAGCCTCTGGAAACTCAGAATAAGAAAAATACTGGTATCTTTTCTAGGCTACTGCTTTCATTTTCTTTTAGTATATTTGTTGTTGACCTCTGCTGATTATTAATCTGTTTTATATTTACATTCTATCTGCCACCATTTTCTCTTTCTTACTCCATTTCCCCATACTGTTGCCAGTAATCTTTTTAAGAATAAAGTTCAAATGACTTAGTGTGGAATACAAGGATTTTCCAAGACTGACTTCAGCTAATGTTATGAGACATCTCCTATGACTCTGGTCCACTTACCATCCTCTAGAGGTGGCATGGATGTTCCCAGAACCTTACCTTACTCCGCTGTTCCCTCTGCCTGCAGTCCTCTTATTTTTCCTTTTTTGATTCATTTTCCTCTGGGCAGCTACTCATTTGTCAAGGCTTATTAGCACAAGGATCTACTCTAAGAAACTCTCTTCAGACTTCCTCTTCACCTCTAGCCAGAGCCAGCCATGCTCATCCCATTCCTTCTATTGTTTTTTTGCATCTATTACAGCTTTTTTCACACTGCGTCATAATTAATATCTCTCTGGGAATGTGTCTCTTTCTCCCTGACATGTCGGATGTCTTGTGTAGGAACTGTGTGTCACCCCCTTGCCCCTGCAAACAGACACTCACTAGCAAGCAGTACAGTGCCTTGCCTGAAATAGATGCTTAGTACATGTTGTAATGAGTGCAGTCATATTCCTTTTTCTATTATAATATTTAAAATACCTCTATATGCATAGATTTAAAATTATATATCATATTAACTTTTGCTTACACATGTATGCTAAAGCGATCAACTGCTAACCGGAAGGTCACTGGTTCGAAACCACCAGCAGCTCAGAGGGAGAGAAGATGTGGCAATCTGTTTCGGTAGACATTTCCAGCTTTGGAAACCTTATGGGGTCGCTGTGAGTCGTAATCGACTCAACGGCAGTCGGTTTGGTTTTTGGTATTGTTATCTCAGAGTTGTGACCTTACATTTTTCATTGTCCTTGTTTTTGACATAGATTGGAAACTTTGAAGTTAGTTTTAAATGTCCCTCACTAAATGAGGTTTATCTTGAGAACAAGTGTCTTATCTTTTGCTCCAGCAGTGTTTGTTATATATAGTAAGTGATAAATGTTTGGCTTTACATTTCTATACTCCACACAGGGCCTCCCACTTAGTAGGTACTCAGTAAATATTTGTAAAGATAAAGTTCAATACCTGTGCTTTAGTAATTTTTTTACTACATTTCCATACTTTTTAATTTTTAATTAAGCAGTAATTTTCACCTAACACGTCTTACTAGATCCACTTTCATTAGCTTTATATTCACTCTCTTAAAAACAATTTCCTACCTTTAAGGTAGTGTTTCTCAAAGTGTAGCCTGTGGATTACCTGAGGTGTCTGTTTAAAATATAGATTCCTGGGCTTCACTGTAGATCAACTGAATCATAATCTCTAGGAGTGAAGCCTAGAAATTGGCATTTTCAAGTGAACGCCATAGTAACTCTGTAAACCCTATCCCTTGAAAATTCAAGTAAAGTGAGAAAAACAAACACGTGAGAAAAATGAAAGTTCCTCAGCTTCCCTCCCCTGGGCTTTGGCATTTTACATAATAGTCAGAAGAATGGTGGAGCTGTCTATTGAAAGGCAAGGCCCCATACTGACCAGCTTATGCTCTTGCTCTCTGAAGGTGTGGCAGCTGGGCTCTTCATCACCAAACTTCACTCTGGAGGGACATGAGAAAGGTGTGAATTGCATTGATTACTACAGTGGTGGTGACAAACCATACCTCATTTCAGGTGCAGATGACCGTCTTGTTAAAATATGGGACTACCAGGTACAGTTTTTTCATAATCTCACTTGCCATATGTTAGATACGGTTCTTACCATTGCTTACAGGAGGGTTAAAACTTGGGATGTTAATTTCTAATCATAGCATAATAACTTAAGGCCTCAGTATTTGCACCTAAATTGCAGTTCCAAAACTGTTCACGAAAATGAAAAATGCATATCAAGGTTTTAAAATAAAATGCCAGTGTGTTTAGTTTTCATTTACTAGTAGAAATTAGAAGTTTTAACATTATAATTTAATTTCGACTTCCTCCAGTATTCTCACTGGGAAAGTACCGTTTATATTTGAAAACTATAGCAAATCAATGATTAATGTCATGATGTAGCCATGGTACAAATCATTTTGCCAGGTAGAACTCTTGTAAACATTGCTATGAACTCTTGTTACTGTGCTTTTTATCTCTTAAGATTTTCTTATATTTCTATTTTTTGCTTCTCACGTGGGAAAGTTTCTGCAAGCAGTCAATTAAATGAGGGCTAGAAAACTAGTTTTAATTTGAAAGTTATTGAAATTTGTATTTAAATTCAGAATACAAATGTTAAAGGCTAAAGCAACACCATTCTACTTAGTCCACAGATGGGTAGGTATGGGTGTTAAGGGGAAAATTCATTATCCTAGGAATTTGGGGAACAATATTTAGATGAAACCAAAATCTTCCAGTATTTTTTTTTCTTTAAATATGATGGTTACATTTATACTTGCCTCTATGTTGTCTGGAATAACTGGAGAAAATATTCATGTGCATAATAAGAAAATTCTATTTCAGATATTTCTGTACTGAATACTATTTAGATTGTCATTACCATTGTCTTTTATAATATAACTGTATATTAGGCAGATTAAGGATGGGTTACTTGTTTTTTACTAATAAAAAAGTTTTTCTATATCTTGATCACAGAATAAAACATGCGTGCAGACACTTGAGGGGCATGCCCAAAATGTGTCTTGTGCCAGTTTTCATCCTGAGTTGCCAATCATCATCACCGGTTCAGAAGATGGTAAGTTAGAAGTGTATTTTTTTTCCTATGCTTGTAAATACTAAGTAGATTTTTAAGCCAGGTAGTGTCCCTGCCTTGTAATTGGAGGCTTCCAAGAATTTTATTGTTTTTACTTGAGTAGTAGACTTGAGCTATAAAACAGTAAATGAGGATTATCGTGATCATTATCATCCTAATAACTAAATAAGAGGACACCCAGATGTTCTAGACAAAAACTAAAAAAGAATGTGCTTTGGAGTCACATTTAGCCTCTGCTGCTTAATGGTTCTGTAGTTTGGGCAGATTATGAAATGGAACAAACATCTTTTTCATGGGATTATAGTGAAAGTGAAAAGAGATGATGTGTATAAAGCACTGGTGCATAGTAGGCCCTCTTCCCAGGAAATCCTGTTATTCATATTTAAAATCACATTTCTTACTTTTTGTTTCTTATATAATTTTTTTATTTTTAGGTTTGTTTATATTGCTTTATAAAATCACTTATAGACTATATATCAAAAAATTGGTCATTCAGCTGCCAGGCTATATTTCCTGTTTGATTAGAAAGACTTCCCTGTGACTGTTTCACCTGACAGTTCATTGTTGCACGTTTAGATAAAAAGGGAATATTCACATTGTTCTTTTTAGGAACAGTGCGTATTTGGCATTCAAGCACCTACCGTCTTGAGAGCACACTGAATTATGGAATGGAAAGGGTGTGGTGTGTGGCCAGTCTGAGAGGGTCCAACAATGTCGCTTTGGGATATGATGAAGGGAGCATCATTATGAAGGTAATGCCTAGAGTTACACTACCTACCTAATTAGATGAACATAGGAGAAGCAGTTTTCCTAGTATTTTAGTACCATCATTTTCCAAGTCAGTAGTTTTGTTAAACTGGCACTTCTGTCTTTAAGCACTAGAGATTAAGCACTGGAGATTTAAAGTGGGAGAAAGGAGGTAGAGCTCTCTGTTAAATGAAATAAGAGAATGTCTATTTTGTTTGTTTTCCTTTTCGTTGCTAAGAGCCATGTGTCATTCTTCCAGCTTGGTCGGGAGGAACCTGCCATGTCCATGGATGCCAATGGAAAGATAATTTGGGCCAAGCATTCAGAGGTCCAGCAGGCCAACCTGAAAGCAATGGGAGATGCTGAAATTAAAGATGGAGAAAGATTGCCACTGGCAGTAAAGGATATGGGCAGTTGTGAAATATACCCTCAGACTATTCAGCACAATCCTAATGGACGGTAAGCTATCATAGAAATCTCTTGAGTGCCTGTGTATGTTAGAGCAGAGTTTGCCTATCCAGTACATATGCCACCCCTGCCCTATGGCGGCCATCTCTAATGTTCCTTATTCAGTTTTTGCCCTGGCCTCACAATCCTTAACGCAGCTGTAGGCAGCCATGCCAGTTGATGGAGTTGGCACACAGTTAAGTAATTTTTTGATTACTCTTATTTTAAATGTGTTGGGTTTGTGTCCTTGAGCTCCTTTGAGTACAACGACCATGTCTTATCCTAAGACTCAGTAGGTGCTCTCTACATGGTGGTTGACTCATTGCTCTTAAGGGAAATGTCTCTTGAAAAAGTTCTGGGATTGGTAATAACTCTGCTTCTTATTTGGAATTTGAGTTCTCAGTTCTGTTTCATCCCTAAGGTTTATTATGCACTGAACATCTTATAAGATCTTGTTTATTTTGATAAACTTAAAAATTGGGGTGTTTTTATTTATTTGAGTGATCAGCTTTAAAATGAAGATAGTCTTGTAACAAGATAGTGCCTTCTCATAGTGTAAATGTAATAAGCAAACTGGTAGGCATATTGGTGCTCAACAAATACTAGTTGAGTAAGTAGAATACTTCCCCTGTACATCTGCAGCCATTCATATCTTTCCTCCTCTCCCCAGTCTGCTTCGTTTGTAAGAGACAACCATTGCAATAGTAATAATCCCACCTTCATAATTTGCTTTTGGATTTGTTGGCTAGAATATTTGTCTAGCTCTGTATTCAAAGAGGAGCCCTGGTGGTGCAGTGGTTAAGAGCTTGGCTGCTAACCAAAAAAAGGTCAACAGTTTGAATCCACCAGCTACTCTCTAGAAATCCTATGGGGCAGTTCTGCTCTGCCCTGTAGGGTCACTGTGAATCTGAATCGACTCAACGGCAACAAATTTGGTTTTGGTATTCAAAGAAATACATAATTTTTAAAAGATACTAGATTAAATTATAACAATCAACTGAAATAACATTTGTTATGAGTTATTTTACCATAAATAGAGAGTCATTGTTTCTTCTATGTGTCATTAGCTGTCTGTACTTCCCTCTCTGGCTTTATTTCTAGGTTTGTTGTGGTGTGTGGTGATGGTGAGTATATCATCTACACAGCAATGGCGTTGAGAAACAAGAGCTTTGGGTCTGCCCAGGAGTTTGCTTGGGCTCACGATTCTTCGGAGTAAGTTTTGCCCATGTGATATCCAGCTCCCTCTGTTGCAGATGGGTGTTGTGTATGCAAGTGTATTAAAGAGGGGCTTGTGGCTCAGCATGGGCTGTGCTTCTCCTGGTTAAAGAACCATTCTCACTCGAGATGCCTGTTGGAAAATTAGAGTCAGAGGCAGCTGTGCAGCATGAGCTGTCTTTGCCCTTTCTGTATTCGGTATTGAGCTGGTTTACTCGAGCTGATCTAATAATTTCATTAAACTGGGGGCCCAGTACCCATTTCTTTGATGCAGCCCATGGCCCAGTGCTTATGGGCTTCAGGTAAAGTAAGCCCTCAAATGAAGTCCTTGGCAGGCCCTCCCTATGACTTTTTCCCCTGGACCAGAACCTTAAGGTGCTGCTGCCCCTGTATGAGCTAGCTGGGAGAGATGCTGTGGTCTGCTTATTGAATCTGTTAAAACTAGTCTTCTGTGGCTTTGCCTCCCCACCCCCCACTTTGTTTTCTCAACAAAACAAATTTCTGTCTAAATTAGAATGTTCATAAGATGTTCTCACTAAAACCAAAATCATTTTACTATGAATTATTATTAGAAAGTCACTGCCTCTGGTTCCTTTTTGATTCCTGTTTCGTGCATCTAATAAACACTAGGACTTTGGTGTTTTCAGGCCACACAACTAAATTATACCTTCATAGTTCTTTTCTTAGTTTTGTTTTCCCCAGCTCCCAACAGTGGGGTAACTTGAGCCTCAGCATTGCACAATAAAATGCATGTTTTTTTTGTTGTTGTTGTTGTTGTTTTTTAATTTTTTTTTAACACTAAGATTTGCTGAGTAGTAAGGAATTGTTTTGGTATTTTCATAAATTTCCTAAATACACTCACATATACATAGTACTTGGTTATCTTGGGCAAAATTCGAGTTCATGAATTGCTTTACCACTTTCCTTCCGTTTTGATAATTCCCTATTTTCAGTTTTATCCACCAGGATCTTGTACAGCATTGTCCCTGCCCTACGCAAAGCACTTGTCAGATCACTTCTTTACACGCTCATTATCCAACACAGCGGCAGCCCCACTCTTCCAGGCAGAGGCCTGAATAGAAGCAGTTTCCTGAGTTGCTGCCAAACATGGCTGACTAGTGAGCCACTTGTAAAAGTTTTTCTTTCCTTTTTTAAAATCACCTTTATTGAGGTATAGTTTATACACAATAAAATGGGCCATTTATGTATACATTTCAATAAATTTGGACAAATGTATACAGTATGTAACCACCAACACAAGATACAGAACAGTTCTGTCATCTCCAAAGATCCTTTTGTTTCCCTTATAAATAGTCAATTCCCCTGCCCTAATGCCTTGCCTCGGGCAACCACTGATCTGCCTTTCTTCATTATATAGATTAGATTTGTTGTCTTTAGAGTTTTATATAAATGGAATTGTACAGTATATACTCTTTTGTATCAGGCATCCTTTGCTCAGCATAATGTTTTTGAGATCTATCCATGTAATTTTTTTTTTTTTTAACAAAGTAGAGGTTCCCATGAGTCAGAATCAGCTTGATGGCAGTGGGTGTTTTGTTTGTTTGTTCCACTCTGTATATACCACAGTTTGTTTAATCATTCACCTATTGTTGGACATTTGGGGTGTTTCCAGTTTCTAAAATGGGTTGTAAGCCCTAGCAATTTGTGTAATAGACATTGAAATCTTTTCATTTTTTGTCCAACTATAAGGAGTTCACTGAATTCCTAGGAAAAAAATACATAGTGAATCTTCTAATCTTCATTTTTATATTTTTGTATAATTCATTACTCAAAAATATTTTAAAATATTTCTAACATTTGGTTGAAATATGATTTAGTTGGTAATATGCTATGTTTGTGCTTCCCCCCACCACCCCCCGCCAGATATGCAATAAGAGAGAGCAACAGTGTTGTAAAGATATTTAAGAACTTTAAAGAAAAGAAATCATTTAAACCAGATTTTGGAGCTGAAAGTGAGTACCATTTACACATGATACATTTTTTGAGGCTTTATACCTCAAAAACACCTAAACAAACCTTTTTTTTATAGGTATCTATGGAGGCTTCTTACTGGGAGTCAGATCTGTAAATGGCTTAGCCTTCTATGACTGGGACAATACAGAACTCATACGCAGAATTGAAATTCAGCCCAAACACGTGTGTATTCTCTCCTTTGTTCTTTTTGTACATGCTTCTTTGTGACTAGCTCTGGGTCCCTGAGGCCAAGGAATGTCCTTGTACCCTGCTTTGTGTTGGACACACTGCTGTTTACCTCAGGGATGCTTACAAAAACAGGATTATATTATTTGAACGAGCATAGACATTGCAGTATTTTTGAAAGGTATGAAAAGTTATACAAAGGCCAGGCGCTATTCATATCTTAAATGGTCTTTGACAGAGTAAAACATGCTTTGAAGACAAGAAATCAGGAATTCTTAACTTGGAAAGGTCCCGGAAGCTCACAAACAGTTCAGAAAGCCTTTTCATACCCTTTCTGATGATGGCTGTTTAGGTGATTGTTTTCAGTGACAGAAAGTTTCCTACCTATCAGAGCTGCCTACTTCTTTGTTTGACAGCTTCATCCTCAGGAAATTATCTTTGGAGACAAACCAGTCTCCCTAAAGCTCATACCTCTTGATCCTGGAGCTTGCATTCTGAACAGCGTTACATCGTCCCCAAGGGGGCAAAAATTGGTTCTTGGGGAGAAGGGTGAAAAAATTTTGCTTTTTATGTATGAAGTACAGATAAGAGTTTTTAGGAAATTTTCTGTCTTTAATATTGTATTTAGGTTCCCCCCACCCCTTATATCCTGTTTGGGATTCTAAGAGTCCTCTGTCTTTGTGGCCTTCTTTCTTTGGTTTGCTTTTATCCCTGAGAAATTCCAAGTCATAATTTCTTTAGATATTTCCTATCCTTCCTTTATATTTTGATCACTTTCTGAGACTCCTGTTAATGACTGTTGACATGTTTGTTACTGTCCTCCATAACTCTTAGTTTTTATGTTTTCTGGGAGAGTTTGCAGTAGTCAAGAGCTTGGCTGCTAACCAAAGGGTCAGCAGTTCGAATCCACCAGCTGCTCCTTGGAAAACCTATCAACAGCAGTGGGTTTGGTTTTTGGTTTTTTTTTAATCTAGTTTGGCATATTTAATATGATTATTTTGAATTCTCCATTTGGTATAGATTGGTAAGTTAAACTTCTCAGATATTTCTGTTTTATCTGGTTATGGTTATGATTATGAGCTATCCTGGGTAGTCTTGTATTCCTAGAGCACTAAAGTCTAGGCTGCAGCTTGTGCCCCTCCCTCAAATAATTAGTGTTACCCTCACTCCCTCAGGGAATCTCTACATCCTCCTCCCAGTCTTTCTCTTAAGCATTGTCTCCCCCAGGTCACGAAGACTATGTGGAAGTGGGAAATGGTCACATGCAGACATTTTCTGTTGTTGTTTGCTGTTTTATCTTAGTAGGTTCAAGCTTCTCTTTGATATTACTAGTATACATATGTATATACTTGTTATATGTTTGTGTGTATATATGTGTTTTTATATATCTATATATATATACACAGACATATGTATATCTGTGGTATTTAAATTTCACAAGGGGAGGCAGTTAGGGGAAAAATGTCTAAAAAGGCTTCTTAGGGAAGTGATAATAAACCAAAAAATTGAGGAAGTATTCTGGAACAACAGGAAGTATGCTGCTGCTCACGAAATTACAGCACATCCAGTGTTTAACGATAGCTCTCCTGCCTGTTTCCGTTTGGTATTTCCATTGTTAGGCTAAATACAACAGCTCCCTGCCCCATATGTATGTGTGTATCCACTACGTAAAATTATTAAGTGCATACTTATTATCTTACTATAAGAGGGTAGATCTTGTAAGAAAAAAAAGTGTGTAATTTTCTATTTCCACTCAGAAATCCAAAATCAGTTGCCTATGGTTTTGTTTGCTGTGTTGCAGATTTTCTGGTCTGACTCTGGAGAGCTAGTCTGTATTGCCACTGAGGAATCATTTTTTATCCTTAAGTATCTGTCAGAAAAAGTTTTGGCTGCACAGGAAACCCATGAAGGAGTTACTGAAGATGGCATTGAAGATGCCTTTGAGGTAATTGCATCAGCACAGTTTTAGCTTCGTTTTAAAATGATTATATTCTTATAACAGAACTGCACTGATTTTAACATTTCATTATAAATTAAATCTGAGGAAGCTAAGCATTTAAGGAGGGGTGCTGGTAAAATGTAAAAATTAAAACCTTAACTCAAAATCAGAGTCTAAAAGCATATGTTTAAAAGAAATTTGTGCTTTGCTTTTAGGCAATCTTTGTATGAGCATTGATATCTTTCATTAAGGAAATTGGAAGTTGTTTTGGTCATAAGACTGTTTAGCAAGAGTGATTTAAATGCGCTCCCATATGATAAAGAGAAATCCTCCATTGTGGAAATGTCCTGGAAGATTTTGTGAAACCTTATTACTCCTGTTTCATTTGTGTTAGGGGTTTAGATCCACTTTAGATCACAGCTTTGACCCAATAATGAGATTTCACGTTATAAATACTTATCCAGGAATCTGCTCCTAAATGAAGAAAGAAGAGTTAGAAATTCCAAGAAAAGATTTTTTTTTCTTGAAGTAGGATTTTACTTTGCATTCTTATTTTCCCTTATCACTCGCAGTTATATTCAGCTTTTGTTTGACAGGTTTTCTAATGTAGATCTTTCTTTTTTTCCTCCCTTTCTGCAGGTTCTTGGTGAGATTCAGGAGATTGTGAAAACAGGGCTGTGGGTAGGCGATTGTTTCATTTATACAAGTTCTGTCAACAGATTAAATTATTATGTCGGAGGAGAAATAGTCACCATCGCTCACTTGGACAGGTAGCTGAGTATCTTTTTACTTTTGTCTTAAGCATCATGAATTTAAAAGCATACTCTTTAAACAAAACATGTTGCTGGCTTATAGCAGTGATAGGCCTAATATTTCAGTGTTGTAGTTTTAGTAGGTTGGCTATTGTTAATCAAATTGCATCAATCAAATGGAAAGATTTTGAGCAAGAGGCACACATATACATATAAATAGATATACAGCAGGTGGGGGGGGTGTGTGTCTGTGTGTGCTTAATTTGGGCTTATTTCTGAATTAGTGTCTGTTTTTATTATAGGACTATGTATCTCCTGGGCTATATTCCTAAAGACAACAGGCTTTATCTGGGGGATAAAGAACTGAACATCGTTAGCTACTCCCTGCTTGTTTCAGTACTGGAATACCAGACAGCTGTCATGAGGAGGGACTTCAGCATGGCTGATAAGGTCCTCCCTACCATTCCAAAAGAACAGAGGACCAGAGTTGCACACTTTTTGGAAAAGCAAGTAAGATAAATTTTTCTTTCTTTTTTAGAACCAGTTAATTTGAAGGAATATTAGTATGGATTTGGAAAACTTTCTCAATTGCCACTGGTCCTTATGGCAATAGAACTTCTGTAAATTTAAGCCACATGTTAGAGCATATAGTTCACTCCCCCTATACTCTTCCTTCTCCTTTCTCAGTGCCCTTAGTACCCCTTTTAAATATTGAAGGTGATTAGTAGTCTTCCTTTTCTATAGACTTCTTTTCCATGTTATTAATATTTTCATTTCTAATTTTCTCTATCGCATGTGCCTTCTTCCTAATGTAGTATTTTTAGATCTGAGTTATATTTGTACTTTTGAACAAGCATAAAGTAAGTTCTGCAAGGGTTAAGAATCTTTTATCTAGTCATTTAATGAGTTCGTCTAACAAATTTATTCACTTAATGGATTGCATGAGCACTTAACACTGAACTAGGCACTGTTCTAGCTGGGTGTAGAGTTGACGTTTTAGTATTTTCAAGTCTTTCTCCTTGGGCTGGTTAGATTTTACAGAGAAGCTCCTCAATCATCATCACTCTAGGGGCTGAGGAGGAGAAGAGAAGGCTTAGAGTCTCAACATTTAGTATTTCATTTAGTCTTCACATCCATTCCCATAATCTCCTGTTTCCACTCAATACTCCTTTCTCTAAGTGTGCTGGGTATCCCCTAGACCATACACCTTCTAATTTACCCTCTCCAAAGAGTAAACTTATCTTTTACTGCTTCTTCTTCAGGTAGTTTCTACATTCTTGGTTTAGCATTTGTTTTCTCTAGTGTTCTTCCTAAGTGAGTGTCATGGGTTGAATTGTGTCCCCAAAAAATGTGTCAAGTTGGTTAGGCCATGATTCCCAGTATTATGTAGTTGTCATCCATTTTGTGATTATAACTTTCCTATGTGTTGTAAATCCTAATCTCTGCCTGTGGTTAATGAGGCAAGATTAGAAGATTAGGGTGAGATTGTAACACCCTTACTAAGGTCACATCCCTGTTCCACTGTAAAGGGAGTTTCCCTGGGGGGTGGCCTGCACCACCTTTTATCTTACAAACGATGAAAAAAAGGGAAGTGAGCAGATACAGGGGAAACTCATACCACCAAGAAAGAAGCACTGGGAGCAGAGCGCATCCTTTGGACCTGGGGTTCCTAAGTGGAGAAGCTCTTTTTCTAGGGGAAGATTGATGACAAGGACCTTCTTCCAGAGCCGACAGATAAAGCCTTCCCTTGGAGCTGATGCCCTGAATTTGGACTTCTAGCCTACTAGACTGTGAGAAAATAAATTTCTTTGTTAAAACCATCCACTTGTGGTATTTCTGTTATAGCAGCACTAGATAACTAAGAGAATTTGGTACCAGGAGTGGGGTGCTACTCTTAACAGATACCTAAATTGTGGAAGCAGTTATGAAACTGTGAATGGATAGAGGACTCAGAAGGAAGTGAGGAGAACTGTTAACCCTGGAGTCAACACAGATGGCAAGATCTGGCAGCAGCAGAGGACCAGTGGCAGCAGAACCAGTAGACCAGCACCAGAAAGCGCTGGAGCAGACCCACGGAGCGAGAGAGCTGAGCGCCTTTGCGCAGGAGGCTTCCTGGTGGAGTGGGATGCCTCTGGGCACTTATCAGTGGAGCTCAGAGATTTGGAACACTTGCCTCAGGAGGGCAGATGCGGGTGTGAGGCTTGAGGGCCGAGAGGTCAAGGAACCAGGAAACAGAAGCTGAAGAGACAGAGGAAGCCGAATTGCCTCATTCTCAAAAGGTATGACCTTGACCTCTGGGGTTTCAAAGGATGGAGTCACGGCCCCTGATATTTCTAAGGCTGGAGTCGCCACTCATATGGACTAGGAGAATGGTGCGCCTAAAGCCGAGGGAGCAGAGTTGCCGTCCCAGTAAGGCAGAGCTGAAGGCCAGGGCTGAGGGGCTTCCACTCATAATCTGAGAGTGGCCAGTACCTAGAGTCTGGAGGGCAGGGCCATTGTGTAAATGGTTTCAGAGAACAGAGGTTTATTTTTCAAGCCTTGAGGGCTAGTGTAATGTGTTCTGCTAACTTGCTTGGTACCTGTTATGCTTTCCCTCCAATTTCTCCCATTTGTAAAGGAAATGTGTAGCTTGTGCCCGTTCTGCCATTGTACTTTGGAAGAAGATAACGTGTATTCTGGATTTTACAGATTAAGAGGAACTTTTGGATTTTGGACTTGGAGTTGATTTAAGACTTTTGCTATATGATGTTTTACATGTGGCAAGGACATGAATTTTTGGGGGGGCCAAAGTGTGGAGTGTCATGGATTGAATTATGTCCCAAAAAAATGTGTCAACTTGGTTAGGCCATGATTCCCAGTATTGTGTGGTTGTCCTCCATTTTGTGATTGTAATTTTCCCATGTGTTGTAAATCCTAATCTCTGCCTGCAGTTAATGAGGCAAGATTAGAGGATTAGGGTAGGATTGTAACACCCTTACAAAGGTCACATCCCTGATCCAATGTAAAGGGAGTTTCCCTAGGGTGTGGCCTGTGCCACCTTTTATCTTATAAAAGATAAAAGGGAAGCCAGTGGAGAGGGGAGGACCTCACACCGCAAAGAAAGAAACACCAGGAGCAGAGTGCATCCTTTGGACCCAGGGTTCCTGCGTGGAGAAGCTCCTAGTCCAGGGGAAGACTGATGACAAGGACTTTCTTCCAGAGCTGATAGAGAAAGTCTTCCCCTGGAGCTGATGCCCTGAATTTGGACTTCTAGCCTACTAGACTGTGAGAAAATAAATTTCTCTTTGTTAAAGCCATCGACTTGTGGTACTTCTGTTATACCAGCGCTAGATAACTAAGACAGTGAGTGTTTATACTTGTCTACTAGCTTTCCATCTTCCAAAATTTTGTTGTTTAATGTCTCTTTTCCCTTTATGTGTGTCCTTGGGAGTTTATGCCTTTAAAAAAAACATCACTTTAGTGTCATTTTAGTGGAGATTTGGGGGAGATAAAGTAAGTTCACCTCATCTCATCTGTTTTGCCCTTGCCTTATCTGACTAGTTCCATAGATCTTCTTTCTGTCCTCTACTCTTGGATTTTATAATGTCTGCCTCAATGCTAGTGAAGAAAAGAAGTAATTCAAATTATTCAGAATGCCTTATTTATATTGTACTCATGGATGAATGCAAGGCAGGGAGCTTGTTGTAGCTGGGAAGTTAAAACATTGCAGATGCATTGGTAAAGCCATGTCTGAAGCCAGATAGAACTCAGAAAGCTGTTCATGTTCTCCATCCTGACCACCCCATAACTGAGCGTTTCCCCTCAGTCTGGTGAAACATTAAACTATCCCTGAGCTCTTTGCCTAACATGCCATATCCCTAGAGCTGAAGTACTAGCCTATAGGGTAGACCTCATCAGTACTCTATGTCTTGGAGAAGCTAATTTAGTGATTATAATAAACCAGAAAACCACTTGCTGTGGAGTCCATTCTGACTCATGGCAACCCCATGTGTGTTACAGGAGAACTGTGCTCCATAGGGTTTTCAATGGCTGATTTTTTGGAAGTAGAGGTCAATGGGTAGTACAAACAGTTAACACACTGGGCTACTAACCAAAAGGTTGGAGGTTCAAGTCCCCCCAAAGGTGCCTTGGAAGAAAAGCCAGGTGACATTTCCTTTTACACATTACCTTGCTAATTTTGGTGGTGGTTTTATTTATCTAGCATTGACCAGCTTCAGTTATCTTAGAAAATAGGCATTGTATGGCAGAATGTTATGTCTGCCAGGTTTGTTCTCATATCAATTAATTTGATGATTCCTTAATTTTTCTCTGGAGCCCTGGCGGCACAGTGGTTAAGAGCTCAGGCTGCTAACCAAAAGATCGGCGGTTCGAATCCATCAGCTGCTCCTTGGAAACCCAGTGGGCAGTTCTGCTCTGTCCTGCAGGGTTGCTGAGTCAGAATCGACTCGACGGCAACAGATTTTTTAAAAAATTTTTCTGAGTTCTCATTAAAGAGAATTTGTTATCTCTTGCTTTTGTTTAAGGAGTGGAGTTTCTGTGTCAGCAGGGTATTTTTAGTTTGTGGAGGGAAGTGATTGATTTGCTGTCTGCATGCATGCATTTGTATGTATACTATGTATTTGCACCACACACACGTTGTACACATAAATACATACATGTATTTTTAAAAAATCTATTTAGGGCTTCAAGCAGCAAGCTCTTACAGTATCCACAGATCCTGAGCATCGCTTTGAGCTTGCTCTTCAGCTGGGAGAGTTAAAAATTGCATACCAGTTGGCAGTGGAAGCAGAGGTACGTATTAATTCATGATTTTCCGTAAGTGATGGAAAGGTCAGTAGATATTTCTCTGTGCTTGGTATATTGTTTTGTTATTAAAGTTTTCTGAAATGCAAATCAGTGACTCATTTTGGTGAGGTTATTGTCTCTGGTCTTCTTTAAACATGCATGTTAATCTTTGCATAAATTAAATGGATTATACTGTAGATGGTCTTAGCACTCTAAGGAAAAGTGTTTTCATATCCTACATGAGATCTGTCTCGAAATAGAAGGAAAGACGTAAGACTAGTAAAGAAACTAGTCTGGGAACTCTAAAGTTAGAGTAATTTGCCAGTATCCCAAACTAAACAGAAAGATGTTGGTTTTAAAGGAGGGTTCTGACATTTTGAAACTTTAATGCCATTTTTATGATCTTTGTGTATTTAGGTTTCCTGATTGTGGTTTAAGTCTAGTGTTTACTGGTAAATTCATTTCAGATGTGCATAATTTTAGCTATGTTAAAATCCAAGGTAAGGATATAAGAAACAATTTCCTATCCTTTCAAAAAAAAAAAAAGAGTACTAATTACTCATTAAAATAATTACCATCTAATTAAGGAGCCCTGGCTGCTAACCAAAACGTCAGCAATTTGAATCCACCACAGCTCCTTGGAAACCCTATGGGGCAGTTCTACTCTGTCCTATAGTGTGCAGTGAAGTCAGAATTGACTTGACAGCAACGGGGTTTTTTTTAAAAGTACCTTAAAACTCCCGTTAGATTTACTGTTTCACTGTGTAATTACAAAATAAAAATAGAATAGGTTGATGATGATTATTTATGCACCATTAAAATTGTTTGTGTTTGAATTAATGTTCAGGTTAACAGAATTACATTAATATTGTCAGTTATTATATCCAAAGATACTTAACTTGGAAACTTTCTTACAGTCAGAACAGAAGTGGAAACAACTTGCTGAGCTTGCCATTAGTAAATGTCAGTTTGGCCTAGCCCAGGAGTGCCTGCACCATGCACAGGATTATGGGGGTCTTTTGCTTTTGGCCACTGCCTCTGGAAATGCTAGTATGGTGAACAAGCTAGCAGAGGGTGCAGAGAGAGATGGCAAGAATAATGTGGCATTCATGAGCTACTTCTTACAGGGCAAGTAAGTATTAACCCAAAGTTCTAAAAGAGGTATGCATATAGTAATTAAAAGCAATTATTTCTACTCGACTTTGAGGATGGATTTTGGAGAGGAATGTGAGGAATGAACCCTGGAGAGAGAATGGATGGTCAGGTGGTGCTGAGTAGTGGGGGCAGAGGAAGACAGTGCTACCTTGGTGGTATTCACCTTTAGCAAGGGGTGTTCTTAGCATGTTTTGTCTAAGCGTCTTGACGCAAATGACTTCTTCAGGGAGGCTCAAGTGGGAGAAACGGTAAACTTTTTCTCAACAGCCCTGCCACTTAAAAGCTGAGACAGCTATTATTTTATGAAGGCAGGAAGCTATTGTGCTGCCCCAGTTGGTACCTGAATGACAGGTGATTTTACTCAAGATAATTTGGGCATGTACTCCAGTGTATGCATGTGAATGTATTTATAAACTTAGATACCTATACAAATAGGTCTATTATTTCTTATTCATAATTTAAAAATCCAGAAATATTCTGATATATTTTTTGTAATCATTTGTTGGTAAAAACTGACCCGAACCGAGGAACTATTATTAGTTGTTTTTATCCCACTTGGTGTTTTATTCTATTTAGTATCCATGTGTTATTACAGAAATATTAATACATGTTATTCTGTATGATGCTGGGGATGTTAGGCAACATACAATCATTGTATTACCTTTCTAAAATCTAAAACATTCTGAAAACACATGTGGCTGTATTTCTGTTATTATCCACATTATAAAACTTGCACAGAAAAAAACTGAAATTAAAAAGATACGAGAAAAGGACACTTTGATATTTTTCTACTGGATTGTCTGGTGTACCCCATGCTGGAGACACTGTCCTAGATATTTCCACTTGTAAAACTGTTTCTGGATGCATTATATCTGAAGCCTTTAAAATTTGCTAATTCAAGGTGCCTTAACTTGTCTTAAAAAGATCCTTTAGATTATTTTTAGGAGTTGTTAAAACTAAGTAGACTGAAAATGGTCACAAACATCGTGATAAGTTGATGCTTAGTGACAGAAATGAGGTGTGTGTGTCTATGTGTGAGAGAGAGAGAGAAAGAGGGGATACTGACTTTTCAATATTAAATCCACATTTCTTAAAATGTGTTAAGTGCCATCATTAGTGTTTATTCTCGGTAACAGTAGCTCTTATTTTTAATCTGTAGGCTTGATGCTTGCCTAGAACTCCTGATTAGAACTGGACGACTGCCAGAAGCTGCCTTCCTGGCCCGAACTTACCTACCAAGTCAGGTTTCAAGGTACAGCTTTTAATTTTAGGGAGAAATGTTTCAATTAAAAGCAGTGCAGACTTATTTAGTCTCTCTTTGATTCCATGATATCTATAGGGTAGTGAAACTCTGGAGGGAGAATCTCTCAGTAGTCAGTCAGAAAGCTGCAGAATCCCTTGCTGACCCAACAGAGTATGAAAACCTCTTCCCTGGTTTAAAAGAAGCCTTTGTGGTTGAAGAATGGGTGAAGGAAACACATGCTGATCTATGGCCAGCCAAACAATACCCACTAATCACGGTGAGTGGTCAAGAGTGCCAAGCTTCGTTTAGTGTGACTGCAAGGTCCAAGTGCATTCACGACATCAGGTTTTGAGCAAACTTAAATGCATTCTTGTTGGATTAAGAGCCAATCTGCGATTTAGGGCAGATTCACAGATAAACATGATTTCAGAGTATTTCATTTCATCACTGCCTTATTGTCTGATAGCCAAATGAAGAAAGAAATGTTATGGAAGAGGCAAAAGGCTTTCAGCCCTCAAGAGCTGCAGCCCAACAGGTCAGTAGAATACTGCATGTGAACTTCTTAATGTAACTTGAAATGTGTTGATTTTAACTACTGTCTCCAACTTTCTAATCCTGACCGTTCTTCCCTTGGGGGTAAGTTTCAAATTCCTGAACAAATTCCTTTGTCTTCATATGTATGTTCACTTGGGCTTTCAGGAACTTGATGGGAAGCCTGTCTCTCCTACTTCAGTGATAATGGCCTCCCACACAACCAGTAAAGAAAAGGTAGGTCAGATACCATACTCAGACCTCCCATTGAACCACATCCCACCTGCTCTCTTCACACATCCACATGGATGTCTGCAGGGCGTGCAGGTCTCTGCTAGTCAAGTGATGAGATCAGTTCCAGAGCAGGGGCTTTGAAACAGGAAGATGCCTTTTTTGACTGAGTATTAAGAAACTTCCAGTTCTCATTTTGGATTCATGAACCACAGATAAATTTTCTTTAATATAGTACTATGTAGGAAACCCTGGTGGTATAGTGGTTAAGAGCTACGGCTGCTAAACAAAAAGGTCAGCAGTTCAAATCCACCAGGCACTCCTTGGAAACCCTATGGGGCAGTTCTACTCTGTCCTGTAGGGTTGCTATGAGTCGGAATCGACTCGACGGTAATGAATTTTTTTGGGTAGTGCTGTGTAACTTCATTGCCCTCTTTTCTTTGCAGAGTTTACTTGAACTGGAAGTAGATTTGGATAATTTGGAATTAGAAGATATTGACACAACAGACATCAATCTGGATGAAGATATATTGGATGACTGAACTTAATGTTTCCCATTTACTCGACTAAACAAATCGTTATTATGTATTGGTGTTGATCTTCACCCTCACCATAGTGCTTTGGACTATGAAAAAACTCCTTAGGTTTTTATACGTAGAACTGGGAGCAGAATACCTTCCTTGTCTAAAGGAGTTTCATGTGCAGCAAGCATTTAAATCACCATGTTTTCCTTGTTAAAGGAAAGGACATGGGCTTTGATTTTTTTTCATACTGTCATTAGACCATATCTCATAAAATCTTTTGAACTAATAAAGATGCTCCAAGTTTCCCTTCTATATAATGAAAATAGGTATGTGGTTTTAGCCTGTAACACACTGGTTTAGGATGCTAAGCCAAAACTATTGCCTCATAGGAATCAGCCCACATTCTCTTTTCTTTGAATAGCTAAATTTGCATTTTTAAATATCATCAATCACATCTTTCTTAGGATTGAATATCCATGTTGTAATTCTCTAAACCCTTTTTCTTGATCTCATGGCATCATTCCCTCAGCCTACACAACTTGGCTGGCATGGGTTCTTATGCCTTGCCCTGATTTTGTCTCATAGCTCCCCGTTTCTGAATCAGGATCTGAAACTCCAGTTCCTGAGGCACCGTCTAAACTACCTATTGGCCTATTTGGTGACACAGAAAGGCACAGTACTTTTTCCTTTTTACTGTACACTCATCTAACATGATTAGAGAAATTCATATCTAGGTACTCAAATGTATTTCTCAATTACTCCCTTGTAGCCTAGGAAAGTGAGTAGGGTAACACATTTTTCTTTGTATTTCTGTCACAGATGCTATCCAGAACTCAAAAACTGAAGGGAAGTACAAATCAGTACATTTTAATCTGGACATTTTTAAACATTTGGTTCAATAGTAACAAAGAAAAATCTTGTTAGTTATTAGTAAAATGAAATTTACTTAAAAATACTTTCAGGAAGCTGCAGAATGGCTAATGAATGCACCTTGATAAGCCTGCAGCATTAATTCTACATATGCTCCCATCTGTGCTTCAGTTTTTGCAAAGACCTGTTTAAATTAAAAAAAGAAAAGTTATGTAATAGAACATACACTATAAAGTTTTCAGTTTTGAAACATTTCTATAATAACAAAGAAAAGTCTGTTTTAAAAAGTCTTCTAAGTTTCACAATTTTTTCAACTGATTATCAAATAATAAACATATATATATATTACCACAGAAAAATGTATCCAACCAACACAGTTCAAGTAATATAATTCGAAATCCCAGAACTATTCTAATATGGCTATCTCTTTTAGCCTGTTTTCAGAAAAAATCAGGAGAACCATTAGGTTTGAAAGAAATCGGGATGAGAATTAGAAAACTAATTTTTCACTTACAATGAACGTTTTCTCCAAAAGCATTTTGCTTCATCTGGCTTATTACAGAAAATCAGAATTAGTACTATAGTTTCTCTCTACTACTCCTAGGGTGTCATCAGTGTCATTTTTATCTTTAGAAAGCCTTATAACTGCTGTTGCAATACACAAAAAACATTACTGGGATAGAAGCCAGTTCCACAAAACTATGCCTATTCTGAGCATTAAGAGAAATGAAATTTTACAATGAAATCCTCTCCTCTCCCTAAAAAAAAATCATCTCAATTTGCAACATTTGCAGAGAAACCTGTGTGAGCCCATGGTTTTCAGAGGTATGCAGTTTCAAAATGAAAGGGCAACTAAGGCTTGGAAATACACAAGCACCACCCTTCCTCACACCTGCTCGCTTCCCCCATGGGAATGTGACCACTACTGAGCAAGGCTTTACAAAGGAAGAATAGAAAACCTGACCACCTCAGATGCTGCTCAGCCATGCCAGTGCTCCCAGGAATGAGGGGGCTGCTGCCCCCACTGCCCTATCAGAAGTCTGGACTCCAGCTGTAGCACCACCACACTGTACCCTTTCCCCACCCCAACCCCATCTGTTTCTGTTGTCCAGGCTGAAGAAATACGGAGGTACATGTTTTCAAGACCATAAATCTCCTGTACTCACAAATTCTGTATAAACCAAAAAACCCAAACCCATTGCTATCAAGTCAATTCCAACTCATACTGACCCTACAGGACAGAGCAGAACTGTCCCATAGGGTTTCCAAGGAGCAGCTGGTGGATTCGAACTGCTGACCTTTGGTTAGCTACTAAGCTCTTAACCACTGCACTAAGTCAGGCCTGCTTCCGAATTCTTCCCAACTAAATTACCACCAAACAGCCAATGTGAAAAAAAGACCCTTTACCGTAATTAAGTTTAATCCCTCAGCAGCCTGCTCTTTGGCCTCTTGAGCTGACAGCCCTTCTGGATGGACCATGTGATACAGCTGGACCAGGCTGGTGGCATCATCGACTCTGAGAAAGGTCAGGGAAAAAAAAAAGCCTTCTGCTTTATATTTTCAAAAGCATTTTCGAAAAATTGGCTAGTTTAGGCCTCACACCAACTAAGTGAGGCAGGTAGGGTAGGGTGCCACTGCACACAGTGCCCAACTTAGGAAAGGGAATATATTCCAAATGTGACTTTTTTTTTTTTTTTTTTGAGATGGGCATCATTTTCTCACAGAAACAGTATTCTGATTGGTAGATGATTTCTAGGTCGGCCTACTTCTCTGGCATGTGTAGTGTAATCCAACTCAGAAGACAGAAATACACGTTCATCCCACATAAGCAAGAGGTTGGTGGGGATGCTCAAAGTGACTTGCCTTTAGGTGAATTAATAGTGACATCTCCAGCAAAAAAAAAAAAAATCAATATTCTGACTTAGTGGATAAATACCTCAGATGCCTCTACAAGAAGTCTCCTAGGACTCAAGGAAAGACTACCACGCCACTGAATTATTCACAGGAACCCATTAGTTAAAAATTAGCATCCCAGTAAAGGAAATTTGAAATTACACTCATTAGACAGAAGGAACGAGGCCTGGCAGTACAGTGGTTAAGAACTCAGCTGCTAACCAAAAGGTTGGCAGTTCAAATCCACCAGCTGCTCCTTGGAAACCCTATGGGGCAGTTCTACTCTGTCTCACAGGGTCACTATGAGTCAGAATTGACGGCAAGGGGTTTGGTTTTGGTTTTTTAGACAGAAGGAAACTCAGTTTCCACTTCAGCAATTTATCTAAATTTAATGATAAAGCCAGGACAAAAATTCAATTTTTATGGTTTGTACCTTCCTACCATTTGCTACCTCAAAGCCTGGGAGTACACAAAAATAACGCTTCCAAGATGCTTGTGCTTTTGAGCTACTGGCTTCTACCATAGGGGTGGGAGGTGAAGAGACCTTAGTTCAGTGCTCCCCCAGCTGTCAACTCTTCAGCCTTCCTTGCTTTCCTGTTACCTGAGCTGGGGGATAAAGAGTAGGATGGCAAAGTGAGTAGATAATTCCTCAAGCCATGGTGACCTTAGAGAAATGTTCTAGGCTTAGCCCAAGGCCCATCAAAGGCCATGTCCTGGGAGAACTGAGATGCCAGAGCTGCTTGCATGTAAACCCTTGTGTGTGTGTTGGGGTAGGGATCCTAAAATGTTCATGACAAATCTGTTGTTATAATCTAACGAAGTCCAATAAACATGGAAACAAAATATTCCCCAAATAAAAGCTAAAAGTAATCGTCTTCAGAGCTAAGGCACATGGCCCTGTAAAGAGTTTAACTGGGTTTCTACATGTTAAAATCATGTTCAGGGCTTCATTAGGTTCATCTTAAAGTATATGGCTACACCACAGAGAAGAATTTAGCCTCACACAAAAGCCCATATTTGAAATTAAGAGCAAATTATATTTTCAAAAAGATTTTAAAGAATCTCAATTCAAAACCAACAGTGGGACATGAGTCTAGCCTGGCTCCACGCAGTGAGGAAGTGTACCCTCAAGTATACTCTCAAGCCTGGGATTTGCAGCAAGCTCAGCGTCTAGTGCATATTACCACAGGAAAGGCTGTGTATTTATTCAAACCTCCCTCCCAATATGCAAATGAACCACTTTAGATGGAACCTTACATGTGATAATGAGTAATCCGATAGTATCACATATTAACACACCTCGATAAAGAAGTTTTCAAAGATACACATTTCCGTGCTGTTCTAATTTGTTACAAAAATCTTTTGTTTTTATAATAATTTCAGAATGATTACATTTAAGAAACTTTGTAGTAGGAAGTTTGTTCACAGAAGATGTCATTGCTAATGCACATAAAAGCAAGTCACTTTGAGCATCCCCATGACCACCAACCCCCTGCTTATTGTGGGATGAAGGTTCCACCCTCTGAATTGGACCACACTGCACATACTGGTGAAGTAGGCTGGTAGGGAAATCATCTACCATTAGGAATGCTATTTCTATGAAAAATAATGCCCAATTTCCAAATGCGGGCTGCATTTCTTAAACAATACCTGAGGAACCTTCTAGTTCCAAATGCCTGACCTTTATACATACGGTTCAGATTACATGTAGGGTACTTTCTGAGTCAAAAACTCTTATTCTCCTAACTCTGTGAAGGTAGCAATAATCACTTAACCCTTTTCCTGTATTTTACTTTTGAGTCAAGAGTCTTTCTTACAAAGTCGATTTTTTTACTACAGCCATACTGGTTTCTTTTCCTTGTCGTTGGCCTGCCTAGCTCCACTGATAGGAAGATGCGCAAAACAAATTTCTCTTCAGTTTTATCACAAGTTGTAAAGTCAGTATTATTTCAGCTAGAAGCCTGAGAGCACACCAAATTGCATACTAAAAGTACAACAGACATTCTTTGTTTTATAGTACGTTGGGGAAAAAACTCTTTTGATGCCTTAAAAATCTTGCAAAAGCAAGAGATACCAAAAGCAAAAGTATGTTCATAAATTCAATGACGACTTTTACTGAAAAGCCCTAGAAACAATTCTACCAGAAAACAAAGGTGCCTGTCTACTTCCTTACATTTCCTATTTAATCCCCCTCTGAGTACTTGGTAAATTCCTGGATACCAAGGTGCAGCAGTGACCCGAGGGATAAATAGCCAGGTGTACAGTACAGAACCAAAGTCACTTACTACTTCAAGGAATCTAGCCCTGTTTAGGCAACACAAAAGTAAAGACTGAGAAAACTAGGTAATGCTGGAAGAAGCAAATCTGTACAAACTGAAGTAGGTGAAAGCTTTAGTTTATCACTAGATAACATACTGTTTCCGTAAGAAAAATAACATAGCTTACAAACAGGTTTACTGTTATGGCAACAAGAATTATTCCCTTACTTACTAGGATCATACTTACAAATATCTTTGAATCTGATCAATCAGCAAGCCATCAATCTTTTTCTCATGTACAAAATACCAAGCCATTCCACCAAAGTGTCTTGTTGAACGTAAAATATCATATTTTCCATGTTTATCTATATCTTCATAGATCTGATGATGAACCTATCCACATAAAATGCAATTCTTCAGAAAGATGAAAATACAAAAAGTGAACATCATTCATTACTCAATATACCCTTGCCAGCATAAGTGCTGCCCAAGAAAGTATCAGTAAAACCAGGTCTACTTAAAGCTGCCTCCATTATCATTAAACAATAGCTATGATTTAGACCAATCCTTGTACAGTTCACCTTAGGTGGGAAAGAGGATTCTACTAAGAAGAGTTTGTCTAATAATAGTAAATCTGTACTTTTCCACTGCAGAAGTGTATAGTAGCCTACAGCAAGTTATGCCAAACATTTACTGACACATCAATTACTTTTCAGCCACCAAGCACTATTTATTAAGCACCTATCACATACATATAACCCACTGCCATCGAGTTGATTCTGGATCATAGTGACTGTCTTTGTTATCCTGTGCTGCTATAACAGAAATACCACAAGTGGATGGCTTTAATAAAGAGAAATTTATTCTCTCACAGTCTAAGAGGCTAGAAGTCCTTGTCATCAATCCTCCCCAGTCAAAGAGGTTCTCAGCGCAGGGATTCTGGGTCCAAAGGACGCGCTATTCTCCTGGCTCTTGTTCCTTCATGGTATGAAGTCCCCATGTCTCTCTACTTGCTTCTCTCTTTTATTAGGAGATTGTCTTAAGACACAGTCTAATCTTGTAAATTGAGTCCTGCCTCATTAACATAACTACCTCTAATCCTGCCTCATTAACATCCTAGAGGTAGGATTTACAACACATAGGAAAATCACATCAGGTGACAAAATGGTGGACAATCACACAATACTGGGAATCATGGCCTAGCCAAGCTGACACATATTTTGGGGGATACAATTCAATCCTTGACACCACCTCATTAACATCACAGAGGTAGGATTTACAACACATAAGAAAATCACATTAGATGACAAAATGGTGGACAATCACACAATATTGGGAATCATGGACTAGCCAAGTTGACATACATTTTTTGGGGGACATAATTGATAACATTCCACCCTCTGGCCCCCCAAAATTCATGTCCTTGCCACATGTAAAACACATTCATCCCATCATATCATCCCAAAGTCTTAAATCAACTCCAAATTTAAAACCTCATCTTCTGCAAAATTCCTCTTCATCTATGAAATCTAGAATACAAGTTATCTACTTCTAAAGTACAATGGTGGAACAGACACAAGGTAGACATTTCCATTACATATGGGAGAAACTGGAGGGAAGAAAGGGATAACAGGCACCAAGTGAGTCAGCAGAACACATTACATTAGCTCTCAAGGCTTGAAAATAATCCTCTGTTCTCTGAGACCATTTAGGCAATGCCCTGCCCTCCAGACTCTGGGTGTTGGCCACACTCTCCGGATTCTGGGTGGAGGCTCCTTGGCCCAGGGCTTCAGCCCTGCCTTCCAGGCCCAACAGAACGGCAACTCCGCTCCCTCAATTTGTGCGGCCCCGTTCTCCTAGTCCATCTGAGTAGTGACTCCGCCCTTTGAGACCCCAGAGATGGTGGATGTACCCTTTGAGATTGAGGCAGCTCTGCTTCCTATGTTCCTTGTCTCTTCAGCTTCTGCTTCGTGGTTCCTTGGCCTCTCGGCCCCTCGGGCCTCACTGCCAGCACCTGCCTTGGTGAGGTAAGTGTTACAAAGCTCTTTAGGTCCACTGATAAGTGCCTGGAGGCACCCCACTCTACCAGTAAACTTTGGCTAGAAGGCACTCAGCTCTTTTGCTCCATGGGTCGGCAAGCCTAGCTCCACCCAATAAGTGCTCAGAGGCACCCAACTCCGCCAGGAAGCCTCCTGCCAAAGGCACTCGGCTCTCTTGCTCCGTGGGTTCGCTCTGGTGCTGTCTTGCACTGGTCTCCTGGTTCTGCTTCTGCCATTTCTCTGCTGCTCTTTTTCGCCGTCTGTGCCATCTCCAGTCTAACAGCTCTTCTCACTTCCGAGTCCTCACCAGAATTGTCTTTGACATCCATAATACCACAGTCTCTTCAAGGCAATCTAGGCTTTTACTCTTAGGCACTTTAAAACTCTTCCAGCCTCTATCCATTCACAGTTTCAAAACTGCTTCCACATTTTAGGTATCTATTAGAGCAGCACCCTGCTATTCTGGTACCAAATTCTGTCTTAGATATCTAGTACTGCTGTAACACAAATACTGTAAGTGGATGGCTTTAACAAAATTTATTCTCTCATAGTCTAGGAGGCTAGAAATCCAATATCAGGCTTTCTCTCTCCGTCGGCTCTGAAGGAAGGTCCTTGTCATCAATCTTCCCCTGGTCTAGGAGCTGGTGCAGGGACCCCAGATTCAAAGGACACACTCTGCTCCTGGCACTACTTTCTTGGTGGTAGGAAGTCCCCCTGTCTCTCTGCTCCCTTCTCTTTTATATCTCTAAAGAGATTGACTTAAGACACAACCTCATCTTATAGATTGAGTCCTGCCTCATTAACATAACTGCTGCTAATCCCGCCTCATTAACATCAGAGGTAGGATTCACAACACACAGGAAAATCACATCAGATGACAAAATGGTGGACGATCACACAATACTGGGAATCATGGACTAGCCAAGTTGACACACATTTTTTGAGGGGACACAGTTCAATCCGTAACAGCACTCTATAGGACAGAGCAGAACTATCCCGTAGGGTTTCCCAAGGTGGTAATCTTTATGGAAGCAGACTGCCACATCTTTCTCCCAAAGAGTGGCTGGTGAGTTTGAACTGCCGACCTTTTGGTTAGCAGCTGAGTGCTTAACCACTGCACCACCAGGGCTCCTTTCACATACATACAGACCACTGGAAATAATGGACTACCATTACTTGGCCACTCCTCCTCTTACTCTCCATTCCATCAACTATCCCCTTCCATCTTATTAACTGGTATGTTCCCTCAATTCTCCCTCCAGACTGATCTTCCTAAAGGAGAACCCTGGTCAGGGCATTCCTGTTAAAAAGCTTTCAAAGGTCTGATGAATAAAGTCCAGATTCCTCAGTCTAACAACTGAGGTCACCCATGACGTGGTCCTATCCACCCTCCCAGCTTAATCTCAAACCAATCCTCTATGTCTACATTGCATGTACAAGCAAACAGGACAACTGACCACTTTTCAAACATACTATGTTATTTCCTGCCTGCTGCTCATACTGTTTCCTCTACTTGAAATCCTCTCCTCACCAAACGCCATCTGCCATGTTTCCTGCCCTTCTAGAATGCTCTCAAGGCCCCTATGAAGACTTTCCTAAGAGCACTTTGTAACCTTTTCTTAGCACCTAACATTTTAGGCCTAAGGTGATAATCAACTCAGCGGCAACAGGTAAACTTCTCCCACCCTTCCCCACAATCACTTCTGGACTGCAAGCTTTTATATACAGCATACCCTAGCCTACTCCTTTCCACTGCATCACCTATACTACTAACAATAATACCTTACACACAGAAGCTACTAAATGAGGACTACTTATTAAATTGAATTATAAAATGCACACATTGCATTTTGGCAAATTTTAGTAAACATCTTTGTTCCTATATAGTAAGTTAAGTGAAAAGAGAATGGGCTTTGCCATTAAGTTGGGTCCTAACTCTACCACTTACTAGGTGTGCAAGTATCAGCAAGCTACTTAACTCTCTAAGTTTAACTTCCCTCATCTTTAATTCAAAGGTTGTTGTGAGGATAAACTATGTATCAGATACACATTAGGTACTCAACAGGTGTACAAGTATTTCCCTTCACTTCCCCATGTATCAATGGTTATAACCAAGCTCACTGTGCTAGACTAAAAAATCTTACTCATATCTGTATTTAAGCTCATGCTTTGGAAACTACAAAATATACTCACCTTGATATACTCAGTGGAATCTGGCTCAAATTGGGCAATGCAGAGATTGAGGACATCAGCATGCCGGTCCTGGCTGTACATGGTCTAAAACCAGATAGCAGCATTGCAATTAGATGAGAAGAACATGGAAGTGCAACACATGCCCTGACGCCATGACAGGCTCACCCACCCACATAAAACCACATCTACACCCATCCAAAAGTGTGCAGAAAAAACATGGATGGGCTTGGTAATTGTCACACCTGGATTCAAATCCCAGCTAAGCCAATTATAAGAGATAGAGAGCCCTAGTCAAGTTACTCATTAGAAATGTTTATCTGTATTTATCAAGGTAAAATGCCAAGCAGCACCAGAGTCGACAGGTTCAACAAAGAAACCATTACCATTGACTCTGATAGATGAAACCAAAGTCACCTTACCTTAAGATTTTCCTCTTTGAAAATTATTGGTGTCAAAATTCTACGACCTTCTTTTGGGAAATAAACTTGTATCATCCGATCCCGTTCTTCCCAAGAGGCTTTGCGTAGTGTGCCACTTGGTTCTCTGACAACAATAAAACGCTCCTGAAATAGACAACATAATCAAGGATGACTCTGTGAGGACTTATTTTTAGTTCTAGTGCCCCAATAAACACCATTATAAGAATAATTTCAACAACTGGGAAATGTAAAATGATTTCAATGGCAATTTTAAAAACCTCAAAGACTTGGCAAAGTTTGATACTTCCTTCACTAATCACTGCTGTGTGTCTAACAATCAGAAATCTAGAATGAAAATATTAAGTACTGACTATGATGCCAAATGTGGGTTCAATACATAAAATTATTCAACTAAAAAAAGCCGATTGGAGACTCACCTAAATCCATTTTAGAGGAAAGAACTACTATAAGACCTTTTCAAATTGTTTCATTTCCTCATCCCAAAGTCTCATCTAAATAGATTTTTATTACTTTATGATCTACTTTTAGTCTTTGGGATAAAAGAGACAAACCTAAATGCGTGGAGTCTTAATTTTGCACACCTCTATGATTTTTCATACTGGCATTAGACATAAATGTGTCAGAGAGACTGCTCATCCACATGCTTCTGGTCTCTTCACTCTTCTGTCAACTCCCAAGCCACGTATGTACCACTCAACTGGCAATGTACCATGTGTGAGATTCTTGACACCTCTCAGCTGTTATACAACTGGAAAATGGCAGAAACCGTGGATTACAATTCTTTTTCCAACACCCAGAGGGATTTACACAGAGCCTTGCACATAACAGATAATTGATATACATCTGATTAATGTTTAAATTAACCAGATGGTATGATTCTCAAATTTTCAGAGGTGTAAGAGCCTCTAGATGTATTCTGAGGGTGTTAAAATTAAAACTTTTATCAAGTACTGTAAATTGAATAGAAGGTAAAAAAAAAAAAAAAAAAAAGGCAGATGCCAAAAACACAATTATTCCACAAAAGGATTTTGGTAATTTGAGAAATCAGAATTCCAAGTTCTTTTCTCCCTTTAAAGTTATAAAATGATACCACAACCAGCCTTCACAGCACTGCAAACATATATTAAAGCACCCAAAACATAAATTCTAATTTAGATGAAACTCTGTGAACTCTGCTCATTATGTCATGTATGCAAATGCCTGGTATACAGGCATGAACACAACTTGAATTATGTCTTCCAACCATATGATAAAAGTCTGATTAATATGGGGTTAGTCCTTCTCCCAAGCCCAGCATTATACAGTATTCTGTTGCATGTTATGGGGCTGAATTGTAAATTACTTCTACTCTTTTTACTTTGTAAAGGCTGAAGCAGAAAACCAGTATCATATTTCTAAAGTGCTGGAGTGTTACTTTGAAGTTGGCAATCAAGGTAAGTGGAGCCAGAAAATAAAAACTACAAGAAAAGAAGCAGTGCTGTCTAAAAATTATTTGGGGGAGCTTCTGCCATTCTCACTGCAAATTCTAGGAAGTAAAAGTCCTTTGGAAAGTCCAGGATTTTTTGGCATCAACAATGAATTCACAGGAAAGAAACACTCCATCTCTCAAAAAAAGAAAGTCGCTAGATGCTTAGGTAGGAATCTCCTTTATCCCACTGCCTTGAAGATTCTATTTATGGTTTTGGTGTGTGTCTGTTTAGCCCTTGTTCTGTCTCAGCACACCTGTCTCTTTCTTTGCAGTCAATCTGTAATATACTGTGTCCATAATCTGTAGGGAAATGGTAACAGGACAATGTGGATGGGCCTGGCCTGCATTCCTCTGCCTCCTTATACTGTAACTTCCAGAAGGCTCTCACTCAGTCACAGGAATTCTGGTTTGGAAGCATAGAGAAAGCCAGGTAACATGTTAACCCTTGGCCCTCGGTCAGACCCATCTCCACATGGTATTTCAAACAAATATCAATTTGCTACTAGACATACTCACCCGGTGTGCTATGTTATATGATATGTCAGTAAACACATATTTGGCTGTTTCCGATCCTTCCAAAATCTTATCTTCAGCTAACACGTCATTTATTGGTGCTCGCTCTTCCAGAACTGGTGGCATTTTCAATTGTACTTTAGCTGCTTCGACTGCCTGTGTTGTAGCCTAATGAAATAAAATATTTCTTAAAGAAAGCCACAAGGTTACAGAACCAAAAGGATCATTTGACAAAAGCAGATACTAATCAAACACGCTAAACTCTGCAAAGACACGACACTGCAGTCACAAATCACTGAGTGAAAAACCAGAGTTTGACTCCAGGTCCCTGGCCTTTTCCTCTATGGTGTACCTGAGACCACCTGTGCAGGATCAACTGTCAATAAAACAGCAAAAGTATGCACCTGAGACAGAGCCAGGCTCCAAAAGTTGCTTGAAATAAAATAAATGATTGCATTTATTGGGTGCTTACTGTGCCAGATGTTCCAAATACTCTGAATGTATTTGCTTATTTAATGCCCATACTACCCTATGAAATAAGTGCTACTGTTATCATTTCTATTTGATGGAAGAAAAAAATAGAAGCACACAGATGTTAAGTAAATTACTATGAAATGGCAGCACTAGGATTTGAATCCAGGTAGCTCAACCCCAGAGCCCATGCTCTTAACCACTGACTACAGTGCTCTCAACAGTGGTTACCTCTGGGGGGTGAAAAGGGGACTTTCACTCTTCATGTTGTTGTGTGCCGCAAAACTGACTCCAACTCATAGTGACCCTATAGAACAGAGCAGAACTGCCTCATAGGATTTCCAAGGCTCTGATCTTTACAGAAGCAGACAGTCACATCTTAACCATCGACCTTTCAGTCAGCAGTCAAGTACTTAAGACCTGTGCCACCAGGGCTCCTTTTTCATGCAATATACTACTGGCTATTTGAATTTTTTGCTATGACTCTAAATTACGTTTGAATTAGAAAACAAGGGCAATAATGCTTCACATATTCTTATAGCAAAGCACTTCCAACAACAGACTCAGGAATTATAGCTACAGGAGATCCCTGGTGCCTGCTTAGCAGGATCTTGTGATTGCACCAAACCTTCAGCCCCAAAGAAGCTCACAGCAGATGTTTCTCTGGGAAAGAAGCTGGAGCGGGCAAGGGAAAGAATTCTCAGGCTAGTTTTGGAGCAGAGAAGAGGCTCTGCTTGGACACCCAGACCTGACCTACATGCCCTAGTCTGCCTAATTCTGACATGTTCCCTGCTCCTCTCTGCCTGCCTACTCTCAAACTTCTTCTCAGTTCTGTGCCTGGTACATCCCCTCACTAGTGCCTATGGAAGAGCAGCTATGAGCATCTAAGGAGCCTCTGAAAATCTTGTTTAAAATTTCAAGGGAGGTATTCTACCAACATTCCTGCATTCACATACCTCTTCCAACTGTGTCTGGGTCATTAGCTTACAGGTTGGGGGCTTCAGTTCTTGCACAGCTGGCTTAAAAATCTTCTGCAAATTCAAACCTGTCATCTTGATGAGTATGCTTTGGACTTCCTCATCCATAAATGTAGGTTTCTTGATCTCTGAGTTACCAGATGCTGCTAAAATGGATTTTAGTAAATAAGAAGCTGTCAAAAACAACACGCTAACAAGACCTCTAAATAGAAAAGTAAGTTAACAACAAAGGTTACCAGCAAAATGTCTACCTCAGCACTGCATAATACTAACATCTATGAGATTCGTTCATTTAAAATTTACTGAGCATCCACTGTGATGAGGAGAGACACAGTCTATGCCAAAAAGGCACTTCAAGTCTAGCGAGGGAAGTTACAGGGAAAAAGTAATGCTATAATAATAACAACGATGGTTACTACTATTTACAGTGTCTGCTATGTGCCAGGTATTACATACATCTTCAGTAATGCTAACCCACAAAATAGATATGACTATCCCAATTTTATAAATGGGGATTCTAAGGCCTGCCCAAGGACAACTAGTATATCAATTCTGCCTCCAAAATGAGTTCCCAAACTACCTGTGTTCAGTTTCACTTCTGGGCCTTTGCCCATGCTGTTCCCTCTGCCTGTAATGCTTCTTGCTTCCTCCCTAACATGGTTAACCAGGTCTCAGCTTGGTTATACTTTCTAGGAAGCCTAAGCTAGTGCGTCTCATAAAGCTATGTGTATCTCATAAAGCTCGGGTCACACTGCACTGCCACTTCCCCACTATGCCAAGAGCTCCCTCAAGGAAAAGCCATGTCAGTCTAAGTTTGCTTATTCTCTAATTCTAGCATGGTGCTTTGCAAGGCGCGGAGCTCAGGAACTGTTGGCTGAGTGAATGAGTGAATGAATGAACGAATCAACGAACAAACGAGGACACAGTACAGAAGAGAACCGGTTGGGTCTGAGGACGCGCTGCGGGAAAATTCGGGGAGCCGCCGCGTGGTTCTCGCCCGTCAGAAGCAGATTCTAGGTCTCCTAAGAGGACATCCCAGTGGACGTCTGGGGAGTCACTTACCGGCCTCGGAAGCGACTCGGCGATATGGCGACCCCGCCCCACAGGGCTGGGGCAGCCGCTGGAGCAGAGTGATGGGCTGGGTTCGGGCACACAAAGAGAACTGCTCCACGCCCCGAGAACAGATCAGGGGTCTCCACAGCAACACCCGGGATCTGAGGGTCGCCATAATTCTCTGGGGCCACCTGGGCCGGAAGCGGCTGAAAGCAACGTCCGGGTCTTCCGCGGGTTCTGCGGCATTCTGGGAAATGTAGTCTGATTGAGGAAGGAGCGGGAAGGAAGCGATGTGGCTGCTGGGTGTTTCATCCGGTTCTTCCAAATAGCTTGTTTACATGTACAGGTATTCGTGTCCTTCCCTAAACATAGAGCTGGAGTTAAGATTGCACACTTTTCTCTATATACTCTTTTTTTCCTGGGCTAATTCATTCGTTCCCATGGTTCTAAATAAATCTCCACCTCCTGCCCAAATCTTTCCTCCCAGCCCCAGGCACAGATGCTCCCTCCCTGCCCAACCTGTCTCCTGATTCTGAGCCCTGATCACCACCACCATCCTCATCCTCCACCAACCCACGCACCTTATTCTCCGTCTCAGCACCTTACTCCTTTCCTTCATAGCCCCTTTCACAGTTTGTGATTATTTTGATTACTATTTGTGGCTTATTTTTCTCACCCCAAGAGCACAGTAAGTTTTTCTACCTATTTTATTAGACTGTCATCTAGCCTGGTGCCTGGCATGTCTATGTGCACAACAAACATTTGTTGAATAAATGACTGATTTAATGATTAGATCTGTTACATTCTTTCCCAGCTGTCCCAGGTGTGCATGTGTTATCCTTTCCTAGACTGTAGAGTTGGAGAAGGCCATGTGGGTTTCTGAAGAAGGTCTTCAGAAGAAGAGCTTTTAGAGAATTATAGGCTGTATCAGTTAAGGTTCTCTGGTTGCAAGCAACAGAAATCATCCCTGACTAAAACAGAGGTGGAAGTTATTGGAAGGATGTTGAGTCGCTCACAGAGTTAGAGGAAAACTTAAACAGCCAAGCTTCAGGAAGGACTTAAAAGAGGTAACTCCAGGACCCCAGAGGCAGAAACCCATGAGAAATCTCTCCAAGAGGCTGTGTCAGAATTACTTGGTTCCAACTACATGTTTCCCATCAAATTCAAGTTCCTGGTGAAAGAGGCTGATTGGGCTCTGAGTGGGGTCCTTTTCACCCCTGGGGCATGGGGCAGGTGGCCTTTGATTGACAGTCCCGAGACAAACGGGCTGTGGCTAGTTGAAGGACTTACCAGATCATATCTAGGAGAAAGATCACCAGCTCTGTGGAGCAATAATGGTTTTTTACTATTTGTTAAACAAAAATATACCAAACCAAACCCACAGCCATCAGGTAGATTCTGACTCATAGCGACCCTGTAGGACAAAGAAGAACTGCCCCATAGGATTTCCAAGGCTGTAAATCTTTACAGAAGCATACTGCCACATCTTTCTCCCATGGAGCAGCTGGTGGGTTCAAACTACTGACCTTTCGGTTAGCAACCAAGCACTTAACCACAGCACCACCAGGGTCTTAATTACCCAACTGTCATTGACTTTACAGGGACCTGGACTTTTGTTTCCCCAAAGGGATTGGAATTTTGTCCTGGGCTTTTAGAATTCTTCAAGCTGGGGAGAAGGGAAAAATCAGAGAGAGGGATGGAGTGAGGAAGGACAGGGTCTGTGGGAGAGGTATGACAGTGTGAACAACTCTTGCAATTTCCAGCAACACCATTGTAACTTTTATATATTCTTCAAAACTCTATTCCTGAAGCCTTCCCCAAGGTCCGCATCTGCCTCATTTTGTCCTCACCCAGAATGTTTTTCCCCTGGCCCCGAATCAGAATCCAAACCTCCCACATGTTCCTACAAATTCCATGGCCAAAGCCCCTTCATGTGCTGAAAAGGGGCCAGTAGCAAGGTAAAGAGTAAAGATCCAGCCATGAGAATGGACAGTAATGATGAGCGTTTCTGAAGGAAGCTTCAGGGGATGGGTCCTAAGCAGACAAATCGATCATTGATGGGAGGGGACCTTTGTACCAGGAGGGAAGGAGTTAAAAATAGGTAGAGTGTGGATGACTTTTGGGGAAGGAACCTGAGCATCTTCCTGCCTCTTTTTTCTCTGAGTAATGAAAAACAAAGTCATTGGATGAGAAACAGTGTTGGAAGCTGCAGGACGGGGAAGTTTGAAGTGGCTGCTAGGGGCTGGGCATGTGGCAAAGATGCTAGAGCTTTAAACCACACCAGCCCACTGAGTGTGTGTGGGGGTGGGGGAGATGGTCTGCAGCAGTGCAGGAGGAGAGGAGCCCAGAAAATCTGGTAGTCTGGAAACTGTTTCTGGTACTTCTAGCAGAAAACATTTGAAGACATGCCTGGAAAGCTGTGTAAGGCTGCATCTGAGCAGGAAATGGTGGGGATGGTGAAAGATGTGACAAAACACGGCCACCTTCCCTCTTCCTTGAAGTGCACTGTCTTCTCATTAGCCCTGTTGGTCTTCATGGCAAATTGGTGAGGTATATAGGGTAGGCACCAATATATCCAGCTTCTATGTGTAAACTGAGGCTCAGAAGTTAGTGTCTTGCCCAAGGCCACCCAACTTATTCAATGCAGAAATACAACTAAACTCTGTTATCCCAGCAGCTACTATGGTGGCAAAGCTCTGTTTCAAATATGTTTCACGGTGTGAGGAAAAACACTGAGACTTCCAGAAATGATATAGACTGCCTTCTGAGCCCAGGATGTGGCCCAAAAGAAAGCAGGAGGGGAGAATGTTCACAGCGAGACAGTGGAAGTTTATCTGTAATTTTCATCATGACACTCTGTCTCTTTAATTCTGACAGCATTCGCTGAAATACAATTCTACCCCAAACTGAACACTTATAATAGAAAATGATTGCCAGAGGCCAAGGTTACATCTGTCTGCGATGATAGGCAGACCCCCTGTCCTATAGGATAGGGAAGTAAATGTCAAAGGCATTCAGGCCAGCTCCTTTCCTGACACTGCTACTCCTCCCCCTCCCCCTCCCAGTGACACAGGCCCAGAGCAACTGTGCCATGTCACAGCCATCATGGGTTTGATCTGTTAGAGCCAACACTTGGCTCCCCTGCTCCCAAGAGCTGTCTGCTGTCAGGTTTGGTATGTGGAACATTTTGTCTGAGGGACATGCTGGCCTGGGTTGAAAGTAATTCCCATCAGCTCAGAACCGGGTGGTCTGTCAGGAGGTTATTTTTCAGTTCGATCTGGGCTCAGGAAGTCCTTCGGACTGAGAGCTGGTATTTTCAAAGGTTAATAAGCCCACCAGAAATTTCTTTCATGAGAAAATGTGATGTATCTGATTGCCCTGACTTGTAAGTAGTCTGCAGACCAGGGACCTGAGCATAATTTCACTTTAGAATCAGGACAGCAGTGTCCTGGAGATTCCTGGGGCCTGGGTTGGGAGAGGTTGGCAGTGGGAAGCCAGAACTGGAAGAGCAGAATGTATGTAGGCTCTGAGGGTGACCTAAGTGTGTGTGTGTGCATGCAAGCATGTGTACATTTGACTGGGTGCATTGTGTAAATGTGTGTACATATGTGTGTGTCTTGTGGGGCATGTATGTGTAAGTTGGTGTGCATGCATACACATGTGTATGTATGGATGAGTCTGTGCATGTGTGTGTGTGTGTACAGGTGGGTATGCATGAGTTCACGTGTGTGTATCAGCTTGGGAATGGAGGCAGTTTAATAATAAGAGCAGAGGCTTTGAATCAGACAGACATGGGTTCAAATTCTAGCTCCACAACTTCCTAGCTGTATGTGCCCTTGTTACTCACCTTTTGGTTTCCACCTCCCTAAGATGGCATGATGACAGCTTCCACATAGAGTTGGGGTGAGGGTTAACAGACATGAAATAGCCTGCACACAGTGTGCCGCAATTGGTAGATAGTATTATTATGATTACTACTATCATCATCATTGTCATTATCATCATTATTCTTGTCTCTTCTCGTCTTGTTCCCTGGCTAGGTGACATTAGTTCTGTCTCTTTTAAAACTCTTCCAGGGCTGCAAACATTGCAGGTTGAAATGAATTAGCTTGAACTAGCTTTCCAGAGAGACGAGTGACCAGACCAACACCCCTACCCCTTGTGACTTTGGCTACATCAGTAAATCACAATGTCCTCATTAGTTAGTGGCACCAGGAAACGTGCTTACTACTTGAGTTTTCTTCTATACTGGTACATCTTGTAGGGATGAAAGTAATCAAACCTTTGTTGGATACCTTCTGCATACTCAGATCTGAGACAGACTACATCAGTAATATGAGAAGGGAATAGACATATCCTTGACTTCAATGAAGAAGCCCCGGTGGTGCAGTGGTTAAGAGCTCAGCTGCTAACCAAAAGGTTGGCAGTTCGAATTCACCAGCTGCTCCTTGAAAGCCCTATGGGGCAGTTCTACTCTGTCCTGTATGGTCGCTATGAGTTGGAATTGACTCGATGGTTTGGTTTTTGATTGACTTCAATGATTTCCCAGTGGAGTTGATTTTTTTTTTTAAATAAGTAAGTAAATGAATAAATAAGTAAATTTTAACAGGTATATTCAGGTATAAAGGGCACACAATAAACTACACATATTTAAAGTGTACAATTTGGTAAGTTTTGACATTTGTATACACCTGTGAAACCATAACAATTATCAAGATAATGAACATATCCATCACCCCAAATGTTTGCTCACGCCCCTTTGTAGCCTCTTCCTCCCGCCTCTCCCTGCAAAAGCCCTTCCCCCCAGGCAATAACGGTTTTTTTTCACTGTAGGTTAGTTTGTATTTTCTAGAGTTTTATAAAAAGAAACCATAAGTATGTACTCTTGTTTTGTATGACTTTTTTTCGCTTAGCATAATTATTGTAAGATTCATCCATGCTGTCAAGTTTATCAATAGTTCCCTCCTTTTTATTGTAGAGTAATTTTCCATTGTATGAATTTACTACAATTTGTTTATTCATTTACCTGTTGAGGAACTTTTAGGTGGTTTCCAGTTTTTGACTCTGTTGCTATGAACATTTGTGCACAAGTTTTTAGACATACACTTTCATTTCTCTTGAGTAAATACCTAGGAATGGAATGGCTAAATCATATGGTAGGTATCTGTTTAACTTTTTAAGAAACTGTCAAACATTTTTCCAAAGTGGTTGTATCATTTTACATTCTACCAGCAGTGTGGGAGAGTTCCATTTACTCAACATCCTTAACCGACACTTGATATGGTCATTCTTTTTAATCTGATCCATTCTAATAGGTGTATAGTGGTA